TTTATTTGCACATATAAAGAACTAATAACATCGAGTAATTTATTAAAAATAAATAAATGAACTTACCGACAAAGTTTTTTAACTAAAGATTGAGCATTTTTTGACATTCTTGTTGGAAAATTAACAGCATCTATTCCTTTTAATATAATTCCATATGTGCGCATTGTATCTGGTGATTCAAATGGTGGTCTGTGTTGGAAAATTGTTATTGAAATAAAGGAATCGATGTTGAATAAAAAGTAAATTGATACTGTAAGTGAAGCGCATCAATCTGCATTTGTAAAATGAGTCACATTTATATATTTCCTATGATCCATTTATATAACTCAATTCACAGTACTTTATATCAATATTATGGGAAAAGTTATATCGACTATGAAATTGATTAATAATTAATAGTACAGCTTAACAATTACCACTCATATAGTTTATTAAAATAATTATCTGTTCTTAAAATATATTTGGTTTATTGTATAGATGTGTAGTAATACACAAAAACCCTTACATGCCTATATTAGCTACCAGATTCAATAGGTAAGTCAAATGGAACCGCAATCACTTGATGATGGTTATTCGGTGTGAGAAAAACTGAACGATATTTGTGAACAAATCATTCTTCAACCTGGGAAAAATTTTACCTTTTTATATACATAACTCTGAAAAGAAATGGTGTTGCGTTTTATTAAATATATTGGTTAGTTTTAAGTCTTGAAACACAATCTCAGAAGCAGCTTCAGAAAGAAATAAACTCTATCTTTCACCATTTCAAATGTTCTGAACCATTCAAAAATATCAGGCCGACATTGAGTCGAGAATACAGACTATTGAATAGTCTGAAACTGGAACCAAGTAACTGTTCACTGCTTAATGGTTTACAGTGGTTCTGTAACTAATATCAGTGTGTGATGAAAACCATATTTACTCTCTTTGAAAACTGTCATCACTTTGACTTTCCTGATTATATTCAATAAACTACTATTTATAACTGCTTGGCCACTGAGTATTGACCAATCAGTCACAAGTATATTAGTCCTACAAGAGGTCAGTCACTGCATGAATAACTCATGGTAACTTCGCTGACTTTAAATTTGAGTGACATATTGTTGAGTCCTCCAGGGAGCATTAAATCCCTCAGGGTTACACACACACCTTACTGATGATTGCTAAGTGGCACGAAAGCTAGGTCTAGGGTTTCTTGTCGACAACCGTCAAATACTTGACAAAGTTGCCATTTATTAACCGGTGAAGTGATTTATTGCTCAGTTCATTTTGAAATTATTTATACAGTAATATATTGAGCTTCGTTTTCAGTAACCTGAGGTTCAATGGGGCGGGTTTTCAAACTAACTAGAACATTCTATTTATCGACGCATTGTAACTTCTACCTGTCCATTATCACAACTAATGTAATTTTGTTTGTTCTCAAATAATAATTAAACCCTGTCTATCGGCTTTGTAATAGGACACTCGGATGAGTTGCTCGACATCATAGGTCATTTTGTCTGATGTTAAGCTGTTGACGAATGTAAATAAAATGTAACTCGGCAGAACATTTATGTTGGTTTTCGATTTGAAATTTCTTCCAGCATGACAAAAATAAAGCTTCCGTTTACGGTTTTGAAGTAGTATCTCCTAAGGCCACTGATACAAACATTATTACTAGACTATTATGTCTTTATATGAAGTTTTAAGTGATATGAAGTTTAAGCTGATGCAATACACACCTCCATCCATCACATTATAACTAAAAGGGTTAATCTGTAAGGTATTATGATAGCGAAATGGACCATTACAGTGGATTTAATGTGAACTTTGAGAGGTTTTACAAAGTGGTTTCTTGGAATATTTTTTAAAATAACTTATTTATAGTAGGTCATTATGTAAAGAATGAATAGTTTTGAGATTTCAGTGTGTTGAGTTACTTTAAAGTAGTTATAGATAGATATTTATACAATAATAGAGAGGATTCATAACAAAATTATATGAACTTATAATGAGGATCCTAGGTGTTACATTGTATGACCAGAATACTAGAAACTAAATTCTTGAATCCAAGATGAATGTAAATAAATAACTTGATGAATTTATTTGTCATTCATATATGAGGTCAGGCATCAAAGATTGTTTGTTCCATTTCGCTCTGAGTTCAATCGCCTTTAATTATATTTTATTGAGAATCTGATATGTGTTAGTGAGAGAAAAATATGATTGGACAAACAGACACGGCCTAGTAACTATTAATTATAAAATTTCCTTTAGTGTTATTGATTTATACTCTACACTCACTGAAGGTGACTGCTTGTAACTGCGTTGAATAAAGTATTATCTAGTGTTAATCTGGTTCTCTGTTCTTGGTTGTGAATCGTATATCTGATAATAACATGACCAGTCTCATTATCGTATTGACGTATTATCGTAGTGTACCGGAGAGAGAGAGAGAGAAATATCTGAAACAATCTGTTATATCAGAATCATAACATAATTATCGATATTATAAGTAGTTGTTGAAACAGTAGGACTTTGGTAACTTCTGATATCATCTATTAACCGTTGACGTCATTTTATAACAATATGTAGAGAGTTCCACAGCTTAGTTTTATTTGGTTGGCTATCATTTTAACAAAAATGACAGTTTTAAACAATTGAAGTTAACGGTGGAAGATCCGATCATTTATCGATTAGACTGTAAATATATTGGAGTAAAATTTATTTCAAAACAAAAGTAAAGAATTCGTGTTTTAATAACATTGATAATAATAATAATATTCAAGAACACTTACAAGCCTGTCAGTAGTTCAAATAACAATACACCTAATGACCAATGATCAACAGCAATATCATGACCTTTATTTAATATTACTTCGGGTGCCATATACTCTGGTGTACCACAGAATGTCCATGTTTTAGCTCCATATGGTAACTGTTTAGCAAATCCAAGATCTGTCTGTATGTGTTTATGTGGTTAGTACAGCAAAGTTAGAAAAATAAAGAAACCATTGTAGGAGTAGGAAACACAAAATATAACAAGTTAACCTTTATTAGAGTCGGTTATTCAGTAATGAACATAGGAGTATCTAGTTCGGAAAATTTTCCACTGGTTAGTTTTTAAGAAGAAACAAATGAATAACTGTCTCATCTAGGCTTAGGACTACTTTGTGACGCACACATACGAACACCGATTGAATGATTCCAAGAATCTTCTAGTTACAATTCGAGTGCGTCATACTTAGTCAACTAAGCAGCAATCTAATGATCCACATCTCCAACTTTGAGCAATCAATAATAAAAGACGACCATCCTATGCCATTGATGATATATTGTCCAGTATAATCAAGTTCTGTTGATTCGACTAGTTTAGATCCACTTTTATTTTCTGACTTGCCTACACACAGAAAATACGAACCATAAAATTTCCGATAGATTTACTAAAAAGTCGTACTAAGCACTAAATACTGGTTTTCACCACATATTGGGCAATCAGTACACATCACTAAAGGGTCTAAGACAAAATCTTAAACAAGCCATCCACTAATCCATAATTTTTTATATCTTCCTAGATTATATCAGTTTAAAGTAAAAGGTAAATTGTTGCTAAACGATCTCCACAAATTTTCTGACTTACAAACTATGTTTACGTCTCTAAATGGTAGTTAAAAGTTTCAAGACTAAGCAAAATATCTATCCATTAATCTTAATAATATAGTGATTAATCACTTAATCTATAGGGGCAGATCAAAATCTATATTCATACTTACTAGTTTACAATATCCTTGTGTATCCAGCATAATATTTTCCGGTTTTAAATCACGATACACAATATTTTTCCTATGTAAGTAATCCAATGCTTCAACTACACATGCCACATAGAACTGTGTAGCTTGTTCCGTGAAAAAATATCTATTTATACAATATAGAAACATATAGGGAAATCAACACTCAATTATTAAAGTATTAAATGGAAATGAAATACAGAATAATGAATAGGATGAATGAAAATAAATCGTTTAATAATTGAAAGAACTAAACTTATTGTTAAATTGTTGTAATACTGTTATGTAAGATGAAATTGATGTTTATGATAAATATGATACTGTAGACCGAACGTGCCTCGACAGTAATGTTATAAGTATGTGTATTAATTTTAAGCAGGATATATTTAAAGTGAAGGTTTATAATTTATGAAATTACAACTTAATGATCTGGTGAATTATTTAACAGTAGCGCATAATTCTTTGATTGAATCTTGTTTGAATTCATAACTGAAAATTACTATTGAACAGTTCCAAATTAAGACGAAATTGTTGTTTAATATCACTTTGAATTTCAATGGCTTTATATCTTATTCCAATCTGTGATAAATGCTATCTTTTAATAATATTAGACTATATAAATACATCAAATTAACAACAATGATATATATTTAATGAAATGATATTTTAATAAGAAAAAGAGAATTCAGCGAAGAAAATTTTCTTTTCAATTTTTCTTATTCAATGACACTATGGGTTATTTTGATATTTTAATAATTATAGTAATTGTGAAAATTATCGCGTAATTATAATGTAGTTAATTATTTTTGGTAGCGTAGTTGGTCATTTTCTAAAGAACTAGTTTGCGAGATTATAATTAATGGACGAATCAATCAGGTATAAGATATCAAGTCTTAAATTCACTCAGCCATTCGGTTAAATAAGGGTTTGGCATTATAGCTCATGCCAGTTTGTGATGAAAACCCTTTATCTAATTCCTAACCTTAACCATCAACTGTAAATCATAATTTTAATTATCCATAGTGGTTTCTAACCCTCATTTGGTCCTAGTTATTAGGTGGACATTATCAATGTCATTTCGGCGTCGCTCGAAGGTCGTCCATAAATTATATTCTCACCGTTTTTATCAATCACAAAGTCATAATGTAATCAGATTTGCTTAATAGCTCAATAAATATAAAAGTTTTCAGTACTTATTTTAGTTAAACGGTTCATGAACAATAAATGTGTGAGATGATCATGCAATTTTTTATTTTTACATTATATTATTTACATTATATCTTACTAATGATTCCATTTTAAATGAGAATTATTTATTTTATAGTTGAATTCATGAGCCAATTAAAGCTAGACCACCATGGAAAGCCTGGAAGCACTGAACGGCAATTTCGTCCTAGTATGGGACTCTTCAATAGTACGCATCCACCTTCGGTCTCGCGCACGAACACTTAACCTCTAGACCACTGAGTCGGCATCCCATGGTGTTAATGTCTAACTTTAACCAACCCACAAATCTTATTATATTTAAAGACGTCTTAAAGTATGTTACTTTACCATACGAAAAATAAACTAATGAAACAGTATCAATGTACATGTAAGAAAAGATTAACGGATTAAATGAGAGTGGTAGTAGAATTCTCATGTTAGAAAGTAAGACCATAGTGGAGTGAGTTGTTCGAGTTCATCTTTACTTCATTCATTTTGAGACTTACTGTGGGTATAAGAAAATTTCAATAATACACAGGAGGTGAAGATGTACTATCTGTGGTAAGTTTCTTTTTAATTTTTAGATAACCGAAATATTAGTCTATTGTAATTGAACCACATATATTAACAAAATGCTTATTATTTCACATATTATGCATCTGCCACTGCCTTTTTCCAACTGCACAAACTAATGCTCTTGAACTATTTAGACACAATGAGCACCATCTATAAGAACAGGTGAATTAACAAATATGTAATGAAATTTTTGTAACAATCTTATATCTTAAATGATGTATCTTTTTCTGTAGAAATTTGTCTTTCAGTAATCTAAGCTGCATCTCAGGAGGGTGATTCAGAGTATACTATTGTAGCTGCTAATAAATTGTTATGTTCAACGTTTGCTCAAATTTTTTTTGACATTTACTATTCTTTAATGCAGTGTTAAGTACATGGTTATTATGTCCTGTATGTGATCTTGTGTACAATTGCAAACCCATATTTCAATTTGTTGCTCTAGACAAATTATCAGTTCAACATGATAATTTACTTCTGCATGACAAATCATTTTCAATTTAAAGTCTATGAAGATATGAAGCTAGTGAAATTCGTGAAGAAAGCTTCAATAAAAATGTCAAAAGCATTGAATCGTACTGTGTTATAAAACAGAAAATCATTAAATTCATGGAGTTTGCTATGCTCTATGCATCATATAAAGTTACGTGATACCCATTTACTCAATGGAAATCAATTTGACCAGGTATGCAGTATTAATTAACGAAATTCTTTGTCTAAGTCTGCATTTATCATAAACCTCAGTTGTTAGATTATTTAACTTACTCGTTTTCACTTTATTAAATGTATGAATAGATGGGCTTTTTAGCTCCCTTCTTAATCTTATCCAAATTCTTATTGTTGATGTCATATCTTTTCATATTCTAGTGGAAACTCTCGAAAATGTTACTCTTCAAACTTCTTATAGCAGGAAATCTTAAGCTTGGCGTGAATGAGGCTGTCTGTTTTTTTAACTTTAGTAGTAACCAAAATGTATGAAACGGAAATCAGAAAATAACATAAACAATCACAATCATGAACCTCATGATAAAATAAATAATGAGTTAGTAGATGCTTTTTTCATTTATTAGACCATTCGAAGGAATGCACAACAACAAAATTAACTGAATCCCGTGAATTCATTCCATTTGAAAGTTTCTTAACAGCTGCATTCAGAATAAAGTCATAAAAAGTGATACGGTGAGATTATAATTAATGGACGAATCAATCAGGTATAAGATATCAAGTCTTAAATTCACTCAGCCATTCGGTTAAATAAGGGTTTGGCATTATAGCTCATGCCAGTTTGTGATGAAAACCCTTTATCTAATTCCTAACCTTAACCATCAACTGTAAATCATAATTTTAATTATCCATAGTGGTTTCTAACCCTCATTTGGTCCTAGTTATTAGGTGGACATTATCAATGTCATTTCGGCGTCGCTCGAAGGTCGTCCATAAATTATATTCTCACCAGTAATATGATTAGAATTTAGTAAGTTAAATATTGTTCACAACTGACAAGAACCTCCTTCCTTTATTCCAATTTATCAAGAGAAATAAAAAGTGTGAAAAATGTTTTTATTTTTGTTTAGTAAATTTCGAAATTGGATAATCAAATAAATCGATACTTGGAAATCACGGCAAAACAACTAATCTCATGCAGATATTGAGAAGAAAAAAACACACGTATGTTTTATAAACAAACCCTTTTGTTCTCCTTCATATTTTGTATAAAGAAGAGAAATGAATACATGTAGAATAAAGCATTTTATATGTAAAGTAATTAATATAAATAAAATCATTTATCTAGTACAACTTTTCCAATATTACTAAAAAGATATAAACAATAGAACAAAATTATTATTATTATTACATTGTCAATTGACTTATGATATCAACTATTGAAATTACTACAATCCCCACAAAAACACTTCTGACATGAATCAACATATGCTCACTAGTGACTGGGTTCAAGAGGTATATCCAGGAGTTTTAGTGAGAAGCAGTGACCAATGGAGTCCAACCGGGTCAGTTGTGATATAGTAACTCACTGAAGACAATGATGAATGAGTCGCTCAATTTTGTGGATTAGTTGAAATGAGACATAAACACCGTTGGATCCCAGCCATCTCAGGGGTCTAGAGGTTAAGCGTTTGCGCGCGAGACTGATAGGTCCTGGGTTCAAATCCTGTGAGCTGGGGTCGTGGATGCGTACTGCTGAGGAGTCACACAATATGACGAAACGACCGTCCAGTGCTTCCAGGTTTTCCATGGTGATCTAGCTTCAGTCGACTCGATTTTAACTACTGAAATTACTACAGTCTACACAAAACCCCTTCTAATACATTTGTAATCGATATATAGTAACACAAATAAAACTATTGGATAGAAATTTATTTAGTTTAAGGATAATTTTCCAGGTCTTAAGGTAACGATGATATTATTTAGCTATTATTAACAAAATTAAATGTTAGTTGCTTTTAGCTTTAATCAATTCCTAATGGATGAAGAGATTCGGTAATCTAAGGAGTTGACTATATCATCTATTAAAGTAAATGAAAATCATGTTATATCACTCGGAAATTGACTTTAGTTTAAATTGTTCTTTATAAGACCTGAAGGTATAGTTTGATTATGATGAGACTCATTGATGTCCATTTATATTCAATAAATAACTGTTCGTTAGTTTCCAATGATTTGCCATGAAAATTATTTTTAAATTTAAATCAGTTCTAGTGTACAATAATAAACAATATCTTTAGTTATACAAAATTATAAGGTTAATAAACAGATAATAATGAAACTATATGGTTGTTGCACTATCTCAGTTTTCTTTATAAATAGAAAATACCATTTAGGTATTAAACTCGGTGGTTTACAGTTAGATCTCGTATGTTCACTGCATAGGATGCCTATTGCATGATAACAAACTTTCTTCCTTTAATTAAAATAGTTCTTTTTTCATGTCATTTTTAAATGACACCTTATTATCCGAATATTCATCACGAAAGTGTCATTAGAAAAATGCTTAAACAAGGAAACATTCATTTTGTATACACTAGAAAAGTAGTTAATGTATCTATACTTGATTATTTGGATTAAATCTAACAGTTTATTTCAAAGTCTAATTATAGTACAGTGAATATAACAGAAATTTGCTTCATTTCAAATCTAACTGAGAAAAGCTACTAAAAACTCTATAAAGTAACTTAGTTTAGACGTTTTGATTAGAAGTTAGGTCGAAATTATAATTTATAAGCGAACCAATCAAATATAAGATAATAGGTCTTGGATTTTGGAGCGAAATTCACTCATCCATTTGGTTAAGTAGAGTTTTGGCATTATAGCTCATGTCAGTGCGTAATGAAAACTCTAAATCTAATTCTTAACCTTAACCATCAACTGTAAATCATAATTTTCATTCCCCACACTGGTTTATAACCCTCATTTAGCTATAGTAAGTAGACAGATACTCTCAAGGTCACTTTGGCTTCGCTCGAAGGTCGTTAATAAATTATAGTCTCAACGAAGTTAGTTTTTATCATGGTTTGATCTAAGCTGGAGAAAAGATTGAATAATCTCTGGGCGCTGGACGGGTGCCCCTTTTTGTACCAATAGACCTTAGTGATTCATACGAATGACTCAAGTGATTAAACCAAAGATCTTGGAATTTAAAATGGATCACGTTGTCTTCAAGTAGATGAGTCAGAACCCGATGGTTGATTTTTTCACCTTCAACCAACCAACGGTATTGTAGGCTAGCCATCTAATACCATTTATGGTATTTGTTCAAATTCCAATATGATCGAGTTTTATCTGTCACAGCTTCTTAGAAAAATATCCTAAACTTACCTCAAAAAATAACTAGCTAACGGAACATTAATTTTAAGGTAGGAGTTAGTAGTGATGGTTTAATTTTCAATTATTTCTTGTCAGTGGCTAATTGTGATGATGTCATGAAACTAAGGATTTTATAAACTTTTGTTTGATACGAATAAATCTATAGTTACTTAAAGATAAATACGTTAACATACACAATGATTTATAATCTGAAAAACTCAGTAAAATGGAAATATCAGTGTGGACTTCAGAATTATTCTCGAAGAGAAATTTAAACAAAAATATTCCATGAGAATACTTTTGGCTTATTATTGTTTAATAGTATTCGAAAGTAGAAACCATAGTCATCAGTCATAGTTGTCATCTAGCTAGATCCAATTGGTGAAGCACAAATAGATCATTTTGTTCAGTCAAACGAGAATTCAATAGCAGTATAAGCTGATTAGTTTAGTTCATAATGTTGAATCAGTTTCAAAGGTGAGTAATAAGTAATACTCACATTTTGAACTTCTAATACTGAGAATGGACGCTCGTAATTTTACAGCAATCGGCGCTAACTGTTTATCAGGAAATAACTGTATCATATAAAAAAACAAGATTAATGTATGCTGAAAAGAAATTGAAGTCGCTTGATGGATTTAATTGTCAACTCACTTGTCCTTTAGAAGAGACCAAAGTTCACCACCCAGACATACTTCAAGCAGTAAATAGACATATTTATTATCTCTGAATGTTTTGCATAGTCTGAAAAAGAAGCGACAACAAAACAGAGAGGAAAAAGTAGAAGCCTGAGTGAACAGTATTGTTTTCTTAAGCTGAGAAATCTTTTATGATAAGCTAGTCAAATCAGTGAGTTGAAAGATGAGAACCAAACGCCTTTATCATCAAGTTTTTCTTGACTTGAACTTTAAATATAAATAAAAATTATTATGAACATTTTGTTACTCTGGTCATACTATGTATAAGAAAGCAACTTCACTTATTGCGTAACTGGACCATTACTTATTCATTAAGACATACTCAAAACTTAATTTTAATCCCTGTTACACCGGTTAATTATCTAATCACTCTATTATTATTACTGTCAATATTATTATTTGTAACTACATTGCCGTCACTTCATATAGATTCTTGACAAATAAAAGTGATTTAGTCTGAAGTAATTTGGTTTAATTACATATTCTCTATCATTTTTCTAAGGTTTTCTATCTCGTCTCGAATTTTCATGACAGATTCATTAATGAAAGTATGTTAAACCTTTTTTCAAGTCATGTAATTCATTGTCTGTATCCTTGAACGACAGTGGTTGTTAATTAGTCGTACAGTATTTTTCATTACCGTACCGATTCACACAGAAACAAAAAATGTCTCTCCCTTCCAATCAATTGCAGTTGCTATTTCAGCGACAACAGCAGCGCTTTAAAAAGAATCAGTTGAATTTATAGACAATTTACGCACACGACTGCCGAATCATCCATGCTTTGGAGATGTGACGGGAGTTAATGAACTAATTTCTAAATTGCGTACAGAGCTGGAAAATGATTGCATAATGAGTGTATGTGCTAGTGTAGGCCTCCATGAATCCTCGACAAGCAGTAATGTAAACGAAACAGTAGCAATCATACATGATCCGCCCATTGGTCCTAGAATGTCCATTTCACAAACATGTCCTGCAGTGGGTTCAAATTCCATTATTTCCGAAACATAATGTACAAACACTGACTTTTGCAGCTCACATAAGGATGATGTCAGATTAAATGCTCATGAAATTGTTGCAGTACCCGCCCACGAAAAAAACAGAAAATAAAACAAGCAACATAATACAGCTGCACCAAATGAAGCTCATCATGCAGCGACAAAAGTTACTGGTAAATCTACTTATCGGGATTCTCTAGTTGTTTTATCAGATATGAGTTAACTTAATGACTCACAAGTTTTTGATCAAATTTCTTACAAAAATGAAAAAAGAGATGTCGGATGTATCAAATGATGATCAAGAACGCAATGAAATTTTGATAGATGCTGATTATCCTAGTGATTCTTTAAATACTAATGAGATTTTCAATAGATTTGATGAAAATTTTTCAGAAGAATCAAACCCATATCAAGTGTCGTTGATCCTTATCATCTAGTCATTTCTAGTCGACTCTCTATTCAATACTGGAAATATGTTTTAAATAGAGTCACACTGACTGTAACTTGGGGATATGATGACCCAACATTATTTCGTGGGGAGGAAGAAATATAAAATCAAGATCCAAACTTCGATTCTTCAAAAATAGAAGGGAAGGTGATATGATGGGAAGAAAAGTCGAAATTCGATTGATTTACTCATTATGATTTTTACTTCAACATTACTTCCATTTTGATTTAATATGATGATTATTCAGTATAGCGTTTGTTTTGTTTTCCCGTATGATATTTTATTCTGCATAATATACGATATTCTTGTATTTAATCGACAAGACATATCGGTGGCGACGGAGTGAAAAAAAGAACCAAGGTCAGCTATTAATTGGACGAAAATCAGTGTAATTATTTCTGACAATCCGTATAGAGATTTATCATCATCGTCGTTGTGTTTTGGGTGTCAATAAACCAGTAACCCCATTAATTGTATACTTTCAATGAGAAGTTAGAGATTAGAATATGCATTCAGTTTTTTCTCTAAATTTTATTGTTTTCACTTTACAGGGAACAGTACAAACTATTACAGCTTTTAACATTAATACCAATAATTTTGCTTAGATGAATGACAGAAATTCATTTAGGTTGAATATTGATTTTAAGTCAAAAATTAAAACTTTTTTTAATATTTAATGTTTCTTAACTATTTTCATATAAGCAACCCTCTTGTTTCAGTACTATGGAGATAAATATGTTTTTAAGAATGAAACACAAAACGAATATAAGCAAAGATGGATAGCGGCTAGCAGTGGAATCTAGGACGCGAGTTTCGTCCCATTTGGGACTCGTCAGTTGAATGTACTTACATCTCAGAGTTGATGTTTACTCTGGGACTCAAACTCAGTACCATTCGCTTCAAACGCCATCGCGTTATCCATTCAGCTACTGAGTCCTGATAGCCACTTGTTTTCGCTCCCTGGATTCCACTGATAACCACTACCCATCTCTGTTTATAAAGCTTGTGAATTAAGGTAGTATTGAGGCAATACGGACAGTATGCACATATGCCAATAACAGACTGATCAATTGCAGTCTTAAACTTCAATGGGAAGATTCAAGCAAAACAATACTAAGTGAACAAGATGAATATATTTACAAACAATCGATCAATATAAACGTATAGGATTAGTATCAAGAAGGTATAAAACTATGTCCAATCAGATTGATATTAAAGATATGAAGGTTACACAAAATAAAAAAAGTCAACAATTTTACTATTTAATTGTAAGAGATCCCTTATTAATAATCACCATGTGAAAAGATGCTTCACGGTTTAAAAATCACTTTATTTGTACTAATTTTATTTGAGAATGAATTATCAATTATTGTTTTACGAATCACGCAAAAGAATACAAAGGTATTTCATTGATAAATTATGTAAATAATGATAATATGTTTATGACGGATGTTGCCATTTTAGTGTTTAACTTAAATTAAAAAAAGGAAATGAATATGCTTGAAGTTTAAATCTCAAGTTTATTTGACCATGAAGATGTTCATTAACTAGACTTGGTATTACGAAAATTGATGCTTACATGATTAAACAACATACTTAAAACTCCAAGAGATCAATGTAAATAGTGTTAGCTTTTTTTGTTAGGCGGCTAAAATATCACATGGATCAATGTTTACAGATTGATGAGCTATTGCTTAACATTAACATCTTGAAATTAAAAAAATAGCAGTCACATTCGTCACTACCAAAAATGTGACCTTAAATGACCATAAGGCTACTCAGCTAGTTAATGTAATGTTTGCTACCTAAACGTAATTAACCTTTTTGTGCAGTTGTGACCATAAATATCGTGTGCACTACTTGTACGGACAGATTTAAGTAGTATGTATTGAGAACCAAAAGTAGAATTCTTACGAACAGAAGAGAAAAGTGAAGAGAAGGAAAAGTAAAACAGAAAGCAATTGAAATAACAACAGGGATGAAAGGAAAAACTCAAGGAAGATAGGCATATAGTGTATTGAATGTATTGTTTTCATATTTTACATGTTCAGTGTGTGATTTGAAACATCATCTGTGATCAAGTAATCATTCACAAAGTACCACTCAAAATGATTTGAAATCCTCACTTATAATCGCAATTTAAACATTAAAATAAGTAATAATCAACGAGACATGGCTGAGAACAGCATCAATCTTCCAGTCATATTTATGAATTGTATGTTTTATTTTTAGGTTTGATCAATGCCTTTCGTTGTATTGTTGAAGGTGATCAGCATTCAGTAGATAAGATCTACTTGATAAACATATTTATGGAATCTTGAAGAATCACATAATGTTTTAAAGCACTGGAATGTGAATATTTTGGCAGTCTATACTCTTTTTACTTATATTTGGAAATCAGCAATTGACAACAATCGAAAAAATAATAATTTCTCATTTGACAGACAACCATATAGATTTATGTTGAATTGTTTAGGTGTAAGAATCAGCTAATAAAGTACTAAGTATAAATCATACTTCAAGAAATTGATAATTTAAAGCAAAAATAATATATTTTTAAACAAAGTTTTAAACGCTTTTTTGATATCGATCGTTGTAGAACTGTCGAAGTGATCTTATTTCTCTCGTTTTACATGGTAACTCAAGTAAGAATGATAAAATTCACTGAGAAATGTCTGTCATAAATAAACTGGTACATAAAATGATAGTCTTTACAGATGCAGTACTATTTCATCGATTTATTGTCACACATAATTGGATGAACGAAACAAAAAGCCTTTGTTTGAAATTATTTTAAATTCCCTGAAACAAGCTTTAGCCTTCTTCTTCTTCTTCAGTAGTAGACTTTATGTCAGACTATGCCCGAACTGTAATTTTTCAAACTTTTGCAAAGAATTTCACAAATATTACGTAAAACAACAACAATGTTAGTGACAATTAACAGAAGGCTTTGGTTTAAAATTGATTTGTTGTTAGTACGTTTTAACAAGATCTATTCGCAATTATGAGGAAACCGTAAACCCCTCTTTTGACTGGAACCAAATATCCCAGTCGGACATGTTATTTCTACAGTAATCGAAATATCTACAATTAATAGTACCCTATTTCATGATGTCTGGTCATCTGTATCGATAGATTTTGAAAAGATGATAGAAAATCGTAAGACCTTTATTCAAACACCATACGATGGAAATACTAACAAGACATTACAGTTTACTGAGGATTTTAAAACAAATATGAAAAGTTTCGAGTATCAGGCAAACAAAAAATGTATTCTGTATTAATAAATATCAAATTTTAAAGTGGCAAACACATTTTACTATAGAAACACTCACCTTACAATAAAATCACAATCTGTATGTAACATGATATTACGCTCATTTATTACATGTTCCTCTTGTTTTGTTTCAATAATATGCTGTTTTCTCATCTTTTTTAAAGCATATGTTTTTGTCTTATCACTTCCTATACTTACCTGTAGATTATGCAGAAAATATAAATCAACGAGATTAATAGATGAAAAAAAAGTATGAACAAAAGTTATTTCGAACTTTCGTCTAAATTTGATTGAATAGTTTCACAGTATTTGGGCGCCGATTTGATATGAGACATTAAAGAGGAAGAACGTATTTGTAAAATCTTAGCGAAAGAATTTGAAGTAAATCGAACGTTTCGCCTGGCAATCTGATCCAAGCTTTTTCGTTTATAATAAATCGTGATAAATCGATTTAGGATTAAAGAGAGATTTATTCATCTGAAATCGTTTAAAGGTGTCCATAAAACTAATTTTGTTTACTGTTCAGCCTGTAAACTTTCTAACACAAAGTAATCTTAAACTACTCATATGATCATTTTAGATGAGTGCAAGTATCGTAGTTTTTGACACTTCAGTACATTGTATGGATGTTTCTAAAGGTGAACAGTTTGTTTACATGATAATAAACAATATAATTCTCTTGTTCACTAAAGGTTTATCACTGAATACTTGTGTTCTGTCTTTTTTATACAGTGTTACAAACTGTCATCTTTATACTAAATACTATGCAGTAACTTAACTAATGGCTGTATTGCACCTTAAGATTTGGACAAAATGTGTTCGTATTCTGAGAATGATGATTTTATGGATCTCAGCTATACATCAAGCTGGACACAACCCAAATATCTCAGTGGTAACATGTCTGATTATGATATTGACTGAAATAGGTACAGACTACAAAGCAATTATTAGTTTCCCCATGATTGTAAATACATCTTGCTGAAACGTATCAACTATAAGGCAATTTCGGACTTGAACTTTGTGCTAATTATGTTCAACCGCTTATGAGTTATTTAAATCAAAACAAATTTCTATTAAACTAGAAAGAAATCACATGCAACTGGAAAATATGTGAAATAAAACGTCAAATAAAAAAGTGGTCTATTAAGTTTGCATAAATCCTCTAAATGCATTTCATATTACTTACGAGCTCAACACGACCAAAACCTCCAGAACCCAAAGTAGACATAATTTTTAGATCTTGAAATTGTAAGTTTTGAAATTCTGGCTTATATTCTTCAATTCTGAAAGAAGTGTTAAAACAACACAATAGACAGTGCCTTCATTCACTCTGAATAATAATAATAATAATAATAATAATAATAATAATAATAACAATTAACCGGAATTTATGATTATTTAAATCTTTAGATTCATCAACACAAACTGGGAGTTCAGGGTTGATGGCAGTATTATGTTGGCGATTATGGATATAGATTTTATGATAATTGACATTGGTTGGGAAAGTAATGACGTTGTTCAGGGAGAACTGGCAATCGAATATAATTGGTAGATTTTTGCACGAACTAAGAACTAGATTAGATAGTATAGGTCAGTATACAGAGACTAATTCGTGTAGATTGTGAACGATTGAGAGTTAAAAGTTAAAAGTGGATTGTATTACTTGATTTGCTTCGAAATTTACCATTTTTTCTTAATTATCACATTTAAGAACGCCAATGGTATCTAATTGTAATATGAAGAAAACCGATCTCATCGACTGTTTGTTATCTTATTGAAATTATCTTAAATTGTCTAGTTTAACTATTTGATAATGATGAGATTGTGTTTTAGTTGGATTTAGATATTACCATAAAGTTCACTACTCTACTTAATATAAACCGAATGATCTCTATTAGTTTGTTATGTTCAAGTAATATGTGCGCAAATACTCAACGACCTTCTGAAAAACTACTGAATGATACTGAAATATTCCAGTCTTGTAGCTTGAATATGAATATTTTGTAAGGTTCACTTATTGTTCAACAGCAGTTAGAGTAGGTTAAATATTACAATACAGGGATATAATTTATTTGATATATGAGAGTGAAGTTTTGAGTTGGTTGGTGAATTTAACAGTATATATATTCAGAAAACTGTTTCAGCAGTACGTTATATACATATATTTATTACTAATATCAAAATGAACTACCAAAACGACTGGAAAATTTTTGTTTTAAATGAACTGGTTATGATGTTGCCTGATGGCAACCTAATCACTGTCCTCAATTTGTGGACAAGTCTTGATAACTGTTCTGCCTCTTACATATATCTTGAGCTTGTTACCAGTGTATACGGCATGAATAATTAAGGACGATTCCTTGATTTGATTTGTACATCTGGTATATCGTGGTTACTTCACAACTTCAGAGTTTTTTACAAACATATATGAAGGATAGGAAGAAGAGAGGAATTGCGTGAGTTGGATCACTAAACATTCAGTCACTAAGTTGTAGGTCTGGATCCAGATCCGCTTATTTCCACTTAACTTACAGGATTTCATAATTGCCTTTCTTCTAATGAAGTCTGGCTTAAGGTAAAGTGCACGAAGATGAACTTGGTTACCAAGTTGAAGTGGATTGTAAAAGAATTTATAACCATTTGTAAAAGCCACTAGATAGAGTAAAATAAATTGACATGTATGAAGAGAGTTATATTCAATGAAATTAATAACTGAACGAAGGAAAACATTTTAAAGTGCCTTTCACCTATATTTAGCTATGAATATTATAGCAATCAAATTGTTCTCGTCCTTAAAACGTAAGAGGATGATGAAGACTAGTTTATATTGCAGATATCAGCTAGAGAATTATTGGAAAGCACTGAGGACTAGACAGATACTTCATCTTAGTGTGGAAATGTTCGACAGCTCGTAGACATGATCCAATATGTAATCGAGCTCAGAATATTAAATCTCTTAGCCAGCTCGTTACATTTGTACAGACAACTTTATTCAAGCCACGATATTGAGCGACCAAAATTCGATTGGATTTGTGGGAGACTGTTCTCTACCTGTTTCGTTCAAACTCCAACCAATCATGACTTGTCATTAGAACTTGGAAGTATTCTGAAACCCAAACAACTGTGAAAGTTATTGGAGTGTCCTTATCTTAGAAGAAGTATCAGTTCTGTGCTCTAGATGATGTCAATCCATAAATAAAATCTATCTATGAATTAAAATTTAGTTTAGAGCTTGAACGTTTTCTTCAATTCTGACTGTAAATCAGGAAAAATAAAAGAAGTATTCGTCGTAACCATTATTGTGAACAACACAAAACGTTTAATTAATGAATAATAAAAGATGCATTGTAATTAAAATTATTCTAAATCATTGTACGTATTTTGTAAATAAATTCGCAATAAGGAACTATGTATATTGATAAGCAAAAATGCACATATGCCAATGAGTTTGATCAATTGCAGTGCTAAACACCAATGGGAAGATTCAAGTAAACAATACCAAGTGAATTTATGTATGTCGATGTTATATATTACAAATATATTGATGTATGTGGTAAAATAACTACCGCTCTGAGATCATTAACCAGTATTACAAGTATAACACATATGTGTCGCTTCAACATCTTTCTACAATATCATCTCTTTAATTAAGTTGCTGAGAAACTGTCAAAAGTCAATTCATTTATTATCCTGTGAACTTTATGATTAAAACTTTGTTTAAAATTTCATAAGCTATGAGAAAACGTACGTAGTTTCTTGCGGTTTTTCTTGTGAATATCGCCTTTTTAATGCAGCCAAATCAGCAATCAAAAGGCTATATGACCTAAGAATAAAAAGGAATTGATAAACAATTAATTTTATTGACTTTGAGAAAAATACTATTCAGTAAAATGGAAAGTAGTCAAATATTTCACTATCAAAATGCATTACTTCACGAAGCGTTAACCACAGTCGGCTGAAGAAAATGATTTTAGTTGCTATTTTAGAATTTTCAGTCTACAATAACTCAAGCTCAGCACCTTGGGAGATGTGAATCTGTAACTGACGTCTAAGAGCAACATATTATATATTCTTCAGTGTTTATTAAGTTTCTCTACCATTCAGTGCTGAGAGTGGGCCAGAGGGGCAGCCAGAAGAATGAGTCTCGCTCGTGAGTTATTTGTTTTCATTAAACCATTTCTCCAAACTTCATAGTAGTTGTATTGTATAAAACAAATGAGCTAGTCAAACTGAGTTAATGTAAACAATTTAAGTTAACTTTCTGATTCAACGACAGAGATCATGAGATGTTAAATCATTTTCATAATAAATAAACCGCAAATCTTTGTGAACATCAAAAAGATGACTGTACCTAGTTTTTTTCAATTCACCTACTCTGCTGAAATCGATGTTGGCTGGTTGTGAATAGTACTTAGTGATTACTATTTCAAAGAAAAGAGCGTAATTTATAAGCATTTTGGAATAGCTTTTCTTATTAGAAATTAATCTTTGACACAACCGATGAATTACAAAGAGTGCTGTTAAAAATAAAAGGTTTCAAAGAATTTTGAGCTGTCTAAAACCGAATAGCACTATATATGTGTTTCTCGTCATTTCTTCCTGACCATTCAGAATCGTGGGACTATGATTCTACACAAGACTGGACCTAAGACCCTCAAATTTTGTGTTGAGTACGACAACGGTATACTGAACCATTTAAAAAATTGTTTATTCTAATAATTCTATATTTTTCATAGTATTCAAAATCTCATCTATTTGTTCACTTGCCGAATAGAGAAATTAGTCACCCTGAGAAATTTATCTTAACAGACAAACCACTGATTTGTTATTCAATATAATGGATATTAATCTAAACATAGAATTTGAACAAATTTTATCTTGAAAATTTAATGTATGAGACTTACTCTAAATCCAAAGCTAAACATGTTACCCCTTCATCTCCAGTTGCAATAATATTGGCCGTTCGTAAGTTGTCACTAAATTAAAGAATAAAAATGTAAGTAATCATTTTATGGATTAAGTTAAATGCTAATTAATGAACACTAGGAGTATTTCATATTGAAGTATTGTGTGGTTTTCAGTTGGAATATTGTATGAGAGACCAACTTCTGTTCGAAATGTTGTGCAGGAAAACAATGAATGGTTCACATTTAAGCCGTGTAGCTCAGAGAATGTAACGAAACCTATATTCATATCAACAAAACTTACATACAATGATCTAGAGTTATCATGTTAAAGAATTCGTTTTACTCAGTGCTTTTTGTGCTACAAACCACTGGTAGCTATGTATACAGTAACGGTAATATTCAATTTATCAAATTAGTAATAATTAGCAACCGATTCATTGTGAGAGAAAAAAAAGTTGGTCACTGCCTTCATGAACATGAAATTACCCAGTTAATGCTTTTTCACCAAACCAATCTCCTCTACCTAGTGTACGTACAAACTGAGGCTCTTTTGTACGATCAATTACTCCATTCTCTGTTGTTGGATAAATGGTCACCTTCACATGACCATCAGCAATTATGTAGAAATTGTCACCTCTTGCACCTTGACGTATTATATATTCATTTGGACGATAAGTAACTTCATTCAGTTGATCTGCTAATTTGGATATTGTACTATCTGGTAAATTACTAAATGTTGGTACACTAAAACAAAAGAAAAAGTTAAGAAATGAAGGTCAATTTAATGAAATTGATTTCGTAGTGGAAAACTGGAACTTAAATAGTTTATAAATAATACGACCTATTCCAAAAGTGGGAGAATAATTTACTATTAAAATGTATTCACATTAAAAATATCAAGTATCTTATATCAAAGAAAACTCAAAAGTACATTTGTAACTAAAGAAAAAGCATTTGTTTCCGCATTATAACAACATTGAATAAATTTAGTATTATTTCCATAGTTATAGCAAAGAATGTAATTCGTGCTAGAAATTTTATCGATAAACTTCAAATATAAAAATCATGAACTATTTCGAAACTGAATGAATGAAAATGTAATAAAAAATAAAACCAAAATTCTACATAGATACATTACACTTTTCTCATTTGAAATATATGGTTTTCGAAAGACATATATTCGGGCTACTGACGGTCTCAAGTCCAGGTAAAAGGAGGAGGGTTGGACATGAAGTAGGCAACCTCATCCTGTAGAAAATAACCTTGCTAAAATGCGCTAACAAGAATAAACATACTTATCCATGTAAACTTTGACCTGGAGGTTGAAGGAAAAATTATGATACCTCATAATGTAAGCCGAGATTCTTCGAAAGTCATGAGGGCATTGCCTCTTCTAACAACCAGAGAAACCGTTAATATAGGTAGATGGAATGTTCGGAAAATGTAGGAAACCGGGAGGACCAATCAAATAGTTGAGGAAATGAGGAGACACTACTTGGTGGTTCTTGGAACCAGTGAAACTCATTGAACCCAAGCTGGATAGAAAAAGTTAGATTCGAACGGATACTTATAAACTCTGGTTACGAATAGGACAATGCTCCGGAGAGACCGGTCATGGCAAAGGAGGAAAGCCAATCACCGAGATTCAAGAACGGAGGAACAGATGGGTAGAATACTTCGAGGAACTTTTGAATAGACCAACTCAACTGAACCCACTGGACATCGAAGCAACACCTACAGACCTCCATATTGATGTCACTCCACCAATAATCAAAGAAATCAGGATGACCATCAGAAAAATCGAAAGTGGGATGGCAACAGGACCTAACAATATTTCAGCTGATGTAATGAAGTCAGACATAGAAGTAACTGCGAACATGCTTCACACTCTATTCAGGAAGATTTGCGAGAAAGAACAAGTGCCGATGGCCTGGAAAAAATGATACCTCATCAAGATACTTTAGTGGCCTTGGATCTGACTTCAGTAATATCGTATGAATGATACATTATACATCAACTTCCTTGATTATGAGAAAGCATTTGACAATGTGGAGCCTTCTTCGACTCTATAATGTACCTGAGAAGATCGCCAATTTCATACGGAATTCATACGACGGATTACACTGCAAAGTCGTTCATGGAAGACATCTGACAGACGCATTCCATATAAGGACCGGAATCAGACAAGGCTGTCTACTCTCATACTTTTTCTTTCTTTTAGTGGTTGACTGAATTATGAAAGCCTCGACATATGAGGGGAAGCACAGAATACAATTGACAGGCTGTATGTGGCTAGATGATTTCGACTTCGCAGATGACCTGGCCCTTCTATCCCGTAACACGAGCAAATGCATGTAAAGACAGCTAGTGTGGCGTCAGTAAGCTTCAACATACACAAAGGAAAAACCATGATCCCCAAATACAACACAAAGAATAGTAACCCAATCACTCTTGGTGGAGAACCTCTGGAAAATGCGCAAACATTCGCGTATCTGAGTAACATCATCAATGAACGTGGAGATCTGATTCAGACGTAAAGGTGAGGATTGGCAAAGCAACGACAGCATTCCTGTAGTTGGAGAACATATGGAACTCAGAACAACTGTCAATCAACATCAAAGTCACAATCTTTAATACGAACGTCAAGACAGTCCTACTGTATGGATCTGAAACGTGGAGAACTACTACAACAATCATCAAAAAGATACAAGTATTTATAAACAGTTATCTATGCAAGATGCTCAATATCCGTTGACCAGATACGACCAGCAACAGCCTACTGTGGGAGAGAACGGACCAGCTTCCAACTGAAGCGGAAATAAGGAAAAGACGTTGGAGGTGGATAGGATATACGTTGCGGAAATCACCAAACTGCATCATGAGGCAAACGCTAACTTGGGATCCTGAAGGGAAAAGTAAGACCGGAATACCAAAGAACTCACTGCACCGGGAATCGGAAGCAGACATGAATATAGTGAATAGAAAATGGAAAGAATGGGAAAGGATTTCCCAGGACTGAGTTGGATAGAGAGTGCTGTTCAACCGCCTATGCTCCTCCATGAGGGGTAACAGACGTATGTATATTCGGAGATATACTCATCATATGTTAAAATTATCCCATAATACTTTGTTCAAAAAATTTCACTATATTATGGAAAGGATTAAGTGATCATACATCAAACACATTAAGTACCGTTTTGTTGTCAGTACTGTATGACTGTATCACATGTTGAGTAAATATACTTCTGTTTTAAGGATAACAGGGTGTGAGCTGGCAAAACGTACAATATAATTTGGTAAATTAATATATACACTTTTCATTAAATTGGCTGAAAATAGTCTTTAATGTTAATTCTAATCTTAGTTTTAGATGTAGTACATTGCTGATAAAAATGGAGCATGCAACTCGACACAGAATGAAATTCGATTTCTCCAAACTGGAAAAGTTTGACCAGCCTTTTGAATACTGATGGGTTGTTCATACCATAGTATCGGCTTTTTATTATGAGTGCTGAAATTCATAATCATATAGTAATTTTCTCCTTTTTAAATACAACAGGATTAAGGTATATTCTTCTGGTTACCGTATAACCTGAGGATGAATTATCTAATCTCACATGACAGTTTCAAGATAAACATAACCTACTTATAAGTAGCTAATCAAAAAATCCAAAACATTTGTTGTAACATTGGTAGTTTCTACTGTATGCTCATCAACAGATAGAAAATCAGATAAGCATTATGTTCATATATTGACGAGAACAGTAAATTATGAAATCTTGGACTTTATGTCTTATTAACAATATACTGAGCACAACACAGTAATAAAACAAAAGTAATTTTGATTATCTACTAAAGAAGTTTATAACTGAGGATGATAATAGTATAAATTCAGACAAAAATCTTTGATCTTTCTGGAACATGACTTATGAATGTTCCATACAACACCTAGAATAATAAACCTTTATTTTGTATTTCAGAGTAGAAATCTTAAAAAACAAAACATTCTATAGACGATTTGAAGATGATCATGATAACTCTTTGAACTTAAACTGTTGTTACTAAACGTTTTGAGGGGAAACAAAGCTTTTCTTGCTCCCATAAAAAGGATCAAATTTTTTCATATAGATAATAGGTTCTAAACCATAATCAAAATATCTAACTTATTCTTTTGATAGTGTCTTCTATTAAATTAAGATAATGCAAGCCCTTGACTTAAATTACTAGTCCCGTATCAAATATAAAAAATTCATTTTGATTATTAAGAGATCATAGTTATATTCCTCTCTGACCATACAACTCTGAATCCCTAACATATGTTGAATTAGTTTCCATCCAAGCAGAGGAAGAAATCAGGGAGAAGCGCTGGAAGTGGATAGGACACACATTGAGGAAAGCGCCCAACTGCATCGCAAGACAAGCCCTCACATAGAATTCTCAAGGCCAAAAGAAAAGAGGAAGACCAAAGAACACATTAGACCGAGAAATGGAGACAGACATGAAAAGAATAAATAAAAATTGGATAGAACTAGAAAGGGAGGCTCAGGACAGAGTGGATTTGAGAATGCTGGTCTATGACGGCCTATGCTCCATTGGAAATAACAGGATTAAGTAAGTATAAGTAACATATGTTGAAACACAGATTGTTCTCATAGACTAAGACAGTATATTTACTATCTGAGTGGTAGATCACATTTGAATACACCAGTAAATTAATTAATGACTATAAATCTACATCATATTCCTTAAAATTAATTTATCATCATTCGCTAAGTAAATGAGTATGGATGTATGATGTCTTATATGATTGAATACTGTTTTCTTTCTTTTTAAAACAAACAGAATACTTCACAATTTAGGTCAATTGGTGAATAAATCATTGATGCACTTAAACATGTTTAATGATACTTTCAGTATTAAAGTGTTACTAACAAATTAGCAAAATAGAGTTAATATGGTTTTATTTGGATTAGTTGATTACAACTGGAACGACTTCTTAGTAAAAAACGTTTTGTAAAAGATCTGTCCTTAATAATTTAAATAAATAATTAATTTACGGAGAAAAAAATAAGACACACTTTTGAGATAATGAGGAAGATTTGTAGCTCAGGTGGATGATTTTGATAGAGTTTTGTTCTGTGAGCTGGATGGTTTGATCATGAGGCTTTTATCGTTCTTCTGAACGACATCATCAGCCCAAACTTCAGGTAGAAACGTTGTTTCAGTGTAATTGGATCGAATGTTCAAATATAAATAGCCGTTCTAGAATCACACATAAAACATTAAGTAGGCTTCCATTTTGAGCTGATAACCGATAAAAAACCGCTTAGTCCAGAAAGCGTTGGACAAATGTTTCGTTCTAGTACAAGACTATTAAATACAACTCATTTCCTAATCTGTACAGAATCAGTTACCACAAAATTCATGGCTTAATTCAACAATCGGGTCAGAATCTAATCTTACATTTGCTAACTATAGTCGAGTAACTTTAAGCTATCCTTTTAGGTAACTTAGTTAACCCCTCTTCAAGTTGTTTATAAGACATAGACACAAATGAAAATCTTATGCTAGTTTATTTACTTAATATGAGCTACGTTACTAATGGCCTTGTGTAAACACCAACAAATAGGCCTCTATGGAATTCAAACGTTGGTTAGTTATGTGAAAACCACCGTTTGTTAGTCTATAGATTTTTCATATTCCAGATACCTCTCTTGATAAATATTTCTGCTTTCCAAAGTGTATTTTTCATAGCTTTAAGATCCCATTTTTACAGTGGTGTAATGAATGGTGTATATTACTGGTATTTCTATGAATAAAAATACTCGACACGTTTTACATTGTTTGACAAATGAAAGTCGGTTTTCTAAAGTAATCTGTCCACTGGTACTAATCATCAGTGTTAATGATTCTATTTGAATGTTGATCTGTTTATACACCATACATGCTCATCTATAATTAATTTTCTAATGAAATCTCCTAAATCAACAGTCAAAGTTTATTGGAGTTGTCAATTTCTAATAGGACTAATGTTATTATTCCAAATTTTTTATATATGCTTAATACAAAACAATTACATACTAATCACTAACCTTTTAAGGAATGTTATGTAATCATTGTGTTTTTGTAAATGATCTCTCATTAATATAGTTTGAAATGATGTTCTGTCAATTGCCCAAAGTGTTCCGTTTGTTATAGCTGGAAATAATAATAGACATTTTCTTTTTAATTATAAGTTCTAGATAACTGATAGTTTAGAAATATAATAGTGATTGTTTTCATATCAATTCTATGAATATTTTGTCGTATCTATTCACTGTCAGTAATTTGTAGTGTTTGTTATCGTTGAAATATAATATTTTACAGCCGTATTGTTCAATGTTTTATTTGATACTAAAAAATTATGTTTCCGAATAGCCACTCTCATTATAAAACATTTTGGATAATAGTCAATTATTAGTAAATCATGAACTTGATAACGAAAGAAGTTCTTTATTTTTCAAGACACAATAACAACGTGTTATGAAATTTCAGAACTATGGGACATTCTAAATCCACTTGGTATGGTTTACTTGAATCTACCTAATGATGTTTAGGACTGCAATTGATCAGTCTCTGATTGACAAACACGTGGCTGTCAGTACTCAGTAGCTAAGTGAATAACACAATGGTGTTTGAGGCGAACGGTACTGGGTTCGAGTCCCAGAGTGAACATCAATTGTGTGATGAAGGCACATCCAGCCGACGAGTCCCAAATAGGACCAAACGTGCGTCCTGGACTCCACTGCTAACCACTATCCATCTTTACTTATAAATCAGTCTTCCTGAGAAAAGCTATATCGATAGCTATAAATTGGTTATATTGCTTCAATATATAAATGATTTCTATGCATATCTGGCTATAATATCATTTTGATTGCATCATAGTATTCATGAAAGTATCTTATATTTTTTAATTACAAAGAATTATTCCGTAATTCTGCATAATCATACTGAAAAAATTATTCCTTAATATTATCATTAGTAATATTAATAAATATAAAATGGGTCTAGGTCATTGACTTTTCTAGGAAACAGTTCATTAGAATGAAACGAAAAATAAATAAATAAGTAAAGGAGAAGTGATTAAATGAAACTATGCACTCGAAATGCTTTATTGCATGCATATATACTGAGGTTATGCTTTATACACAAAAATTGTGTGTTGCCACGGTATCTAAATTCTTCTATTTGAACTTATGATTAACAGTTTTTGGTAAGATCTGTTTTTCTAACAGTCAGAATATATACATATCTACTGGTTACTTTCCTCATAGTTCGCAATATTTATTGAGTAATATTCAAAGTGATAGGGTTTTGGTTTACCATGTTCATGTTCATTGAGACTAAATAAAGTGATGTATGGAAATTTTACAACAACCAATTAATACTACTTTTATTAAAAGTAAGATCAAAAAGAAGCTTTCATGGATATTTAAAATGTTGTTTTGTAAATGCGAAAAACAATTTGAATAGTAAATTTATAACTCTATATTACGTCTTTTCCTATTAAGAAATAATCTGTCGAAATAACATTGAAAACTTCAAACAAAGTTGGTAAATATAGGCAAAGATAGATAGCGGTTAGCAGTAGAATCCAGGACTCGGGTTTCATCCTGTTCGGGACTCGTCAGTTAGATTTACATACATCTCAGAGTTGATATTCACTCTGGGACTCGAACCCAGTAGCGTTAGCTACACATAAATCATAGTACAAAAAATATTAATGTGATTAGCGGTGAGTTATCGAATGTTATTTTGAAATTTCAAATTGTTTGTTAGAATAATAATAAATGACTAATGACATCGTTTAAAGAAAAAAACAGTTTTACTTAGTGGATGGGTTGACAGATTACATAATACTTAGTGGAACAATTAAGAAATCATGGTATATGATCTTATACTGACAGTAGTTATGTACAAAGAAAGACGAGTAAAATTCGAAACAGAAGAATAATACACCATTCCTCAGTCATTTTCATAGATTCACTATAGTTTCGAATGAGGATGAGATAAGTGATAGAGGTTTTCTTGTGAAAATAATGATTCTGTTCAGTAAGATATCTGGAGATGAAATGTGGAGTAAACGTATACGAAAACCACGTGTCAAACAAGATTTATTTTAATTTAACCACTCTATCAAGTACAGTTTTAATACTCATCTTTGAGTCATGTATTTTGCGTAAGGATTATCACTATGGCCTTGTTAAATTAAATGGGACGGGATTCAAAGGTTTGGCCCAGTGGTTGAAATCTTGAAGCTTTAGCTAATAAACCATCGTTCAACTATGCTGTAATGCAGACTAAATATGACAGATTACTTGAAATGCTTTATCCATGCACACTTAATATTCCATGCCTATCAACTTAGTGATTGTATAAATCTCAATCGGTTGCAATGATGCTTTTCTTAACCGTGGTTAATAGTGTGAAACATCTCTTCGTCAACTGAGTAATGCAGGTTTTATTATAATATAATTTTAAAACCTATATACTAATGTAGAATCACTAAAATGTAAATGAAAGAATGCATTTTCTTGCTAAATTTCCATTTTATTATAGTTTGTGCTTGTTCCAAAGCCGACATTACAATCAATAATACCATGATTGCAACAGGAATTTTGATGGTTATACGTTTACTTTCTTTGTAAGTAATAATATCTTTCCAAATTTCAGAAAGAAGCAGGGTATGAGAATTTCTCCAAAGACAACTAAGAGTTTGTTTCGTTGATCAAGAATTCGACTGGTCGTCATCAATACATGTTTCGACACTGATCATTATCTATTTTAATTAGTTTTTCACAGAATCTGATTTCTAACCTTTAAGGGTTTTATCATTTCTATTATTAGCATATAGGTTAAAGTTTATATGAGAAAACTGCCTAGACTTCCTGAGGTTACTTATTTTTCAATGTTTCAGCATATAAGAAAAACCATGGATTGATATCAGTAAATGTATTTGGGAACTTTTGATATATTTACGTAGTGTCAGTCACAGCTATTGTTTAGATATTAACGTTACTACTAATTAAGTATGTACCTAACAAGTAATAAATGAAACCTAAAAGGGTACTATATTGATTTACAGGAGTATCTCATAAAATAATAACTCAATACTAACACACATAATTCAAATTATTATCATTCAGATAACTGATCAAAGGCTACAATTAAATAAAAAGGATTTTTATTTTCATTATGTGATTAAAGGTTAATATACGTGTCATTTTAGTGAATTTATCCTGTTGAAGAAAATGTCTTTATTATTGAGTCCATCATACTTTATTAATATAGTATAGTGTGTTATAGTATAGTATAGTCCCATACTGAGACGAAACGGCCATCCAATGCTTCCAGGTTTTCCATGATGATCTAGTTTCAATTGATTCATGACATCAACTATTAAAACTACTATAATATCTACAAAACCCCTCTCTGTTTATAATTATTTTATTGTTCTGGTCAAAATAAAAGTTAATGTACATTTATCTTATAATAATAATAATAATAATAATAATAATAATAATAATAATAATAATAATAATAAAATGTTAATGTTTTAAAGATCCCCGTCATATTAAAAGACTAATATTTGAACGAAGAATATTCTTTTCGATAGATTCTCTTCAGGTTCTACAATTCATATATCCAAATTAATAATCCGAAAAATGGCCAGGTTAAGGGCAAAGTACATCGTTCAAAGCATGTGAATTTAGGATTGTGATAAACAAAATACAATAAAATTGTTAATGTTGATATGACTCATATAGAATGTTAACTTGAAATTTTAAGATCCATGATCAGAACAAATATGGGTCAAATAGGGTGAGAGAGAAATAGTGCGATTACAATTCGATCAAATAAGTTAGACATAATACGGAGGGATGAATGCGAAGTGAATGAATCATGTTTAGGGGAGATTAATAAGGATGTTTAACCATTAGTAATAATAATAATAACAATAATAATAATAATCGAAAGATTTATGAATAAAGATAACAGACACAATTGACTACGAAAGGTCATAGTCAAACTAGGTTATTCAATAGTTAAGATTACGATTGATTAATTAGCCTTGATGTACTTTGCCCTTAACCTGGTCATTTTTCGGATTATTAATTTGGATATATGAATTGTAGAACCTGAAGAGAATTTATCGAAAAGAATATTCTTCTATCAAATGTTAATCTATCGATTTATTATCATATTCGTTTGATGCATAACAAATAATCCTGTTATTATAATTAATTAACACCAATTTCATTCATATGGACAATTTACAGACGAGAGTCATTCGTTTCTATTAACGCATGTTGAAGTTATGTCTGAATACGTTTGAGTATAGACAGAATAAATTTGATTATCATATAAATGGAAATATCACTTTTAGGCACATTGAATATACATGATACTATATGTTACTATATATATAATATTATAATTGCAATTTATTTGTAGTATGAATATAAAACTGGACTGCCATATTGGGAAAACATGTCATGTATATTTATATATGCATACACATATACACAAATAGAACAATAAGAGTTACATATTTTATACACATTTAAATACAATAAATGATGACAAGTACTGTGATATCAAGGGCAACATATTTAATTTAATCTTATAACAAATGATAAAATGGGATTTAAGGCAAGTTAAATTACATTCATGAAACTAAGGATTAAGGAATGCATCATTGAACGTAACTTTTATTTAGTTCGGCTACACTTTATTACGTAAATGAAGGATGTATAATGTTGTTTTCTTTTAAAAAATTAAAGATGAAATTGAAAATAATAAAAAAATGACATGTTTCAATGAATAGACTTGTTATGTCCCGATAAGAATAGTGAATGGTAATTTTTGGGATCCATTTATGGACCAATACTATGTGTATATATTTATCGTATAATTGTTAAATAACTAAACTGTTCATATACGTGTACCTCTTATTATAAGCTTTATTTTAACTTGTGAACTATTATTGTACGATTTACCATTCTTGAATTATGCCCTGTCTATTAATTACTACCTCCCACACTCACAGCCACTTTTGGCTTAATCTTGTACAAATGTTGTTTCCTATTTTATGGTATGATGTGGTCTGTCTAGTTGGTATATAAACCCAGCGTGTTTGAAATAAGTGATTCTATCACAGAGGCTGAGATTGGTGTCCTAGACTTTACAGGCTGGGTTAAGCAGGGAGCAGGACCGATAAGTACTCTAGACTGCTCGCACGGTTTTTATGCGTCATTGGTCCAATCGATAATTCACTGCTCTCTAATTGGAGGTATCACTGCTTTATACATTAACAAGGCACACAGACCACAAGTTATAACAAAACTAAAAAAATAATCAATAAGTTGTAAAACACTTCCTGATCCATAATTGTTTTGTTTTTCCTCTTAAGAATAATATATCAAATAAGAAGAAACATCTAGAAACTTTACAAGAGTAATAGTCAATTTCTGGTTTGTAAACTACATAAACCTTGTTGATTTAAGAAATCTGGTTGTAATTTCTTAGGTCATTGATATATTGTAGAATAATCTGTTTATGAATTCTATATTTGAGTATTTGCTTAGTTTTGAGTCTGATAAACACATTTTGATAAAGTTGCTTGATTAAACATCCTTCTACATAATGATTACAATGTATTTTTCTTTATCTATCCGTGTGTTAGATGTATTACAGTACTGGCTTATGCTAAATCCAGTTTCACTGTTTATCCTGTATTGATTTTGATGACTAGTGCATAAAGGCAAGGTAACTTGTTCTGATGTTAATTCTGCAACATCAATGACGTTGCTAATTAAAATCGTAGTCAGTTTTTGGGCTAATTTCTTTAGTACTCAAAAGTATATCACTGACTTAGAGGGTTCAAAATGTTTTCTCGTCTAATTTCAGGACCAGAACTTATTTTTTAAATAATTCTTTCGAATATGACAGATCATATTAGGGTATCCGTCAATCGTTGATATATTTTATTTAGTTAAGAGGATTTTGTTCAGCACTACTTCATGAGTTAAAATTAAGATATAACATTGAAGCTTGAGATATCTTTATGAGAAGAGAGGATATGGTGTCTTTCACAAATTTTCATTTAGCTGAGACACATAAAGCCGCAGTGTTTGTCAGTGCCAATCTGAATCTCCTAGATGTTGATGGTGTAATCCTGAAAGTTGATGAGAGATGCACAATTGACCCATTAGTCCAGAGAAAGGAAGCTCACCATTATCATCCTCCAGATAGAGAATCTTTGTCACTATTTTAAAGCTATTAGAGCACACGTTATTCGTAAATTATTTAAGATTTGAGTTATATAACAGTCAAAAATGACTCGCAGATCGTTATTTAAGTGTGAATATCTTTGGTTCAACGAGTAGGATTCATTTTTTGATTGAGATCATGGACCGATTGATGTTAGACCACCTTTGAAAACCTGCAAGGACTGGATGACCGTTTCGTCCTATCGTGGGACTCCTCAGAAGTGCGCATCCACGATCCCGCTCGCGGGATTCGAACCCAGGGCCTTCGGTCTCTCGCGCGAACGCTGATCTTATTTACTTGTGAACTCAATATGGCGCACATAACTGAGTTGTTTTAACGTAGGGTGTAATAGCGCTCCACTCATTTCTAGTTTTTATTGATCGAACAGGTGCAGTTAGTCCATCACAAAAAGTTTTCTTGTAAAGTAAATTTATTCATTCAACAGTAAAACAAGAATGTTTAAGATTCTTCGAAAAATGTAAATATGATAAAATTATGGGTAAGGTTAATATCTTTTCGACATCTCCACTAAAATTAAAACAACACACTTACCCTTAACACTGGCAGTTCGAGTGCAATTATATAAAACAGCTAATTCCCCTAGTACTGTCGGACGATCTAGCACTCTTAATTTTCGACCATCTTTGGAAATTTCTAGTTGTCCCTCTAAGAATTTAAAATGAAAAATATACAACAAAATGACTAGTAAATGAACACTAAATATGCTTGTGACACAATTTTCAAATAGGATCACGTTCAGTGAACAAAAAATGTTAAAGTACTCAATGACAAAGTTTATTTGTGTCTTCAAATATATAATCAGTTTTTTAAAAACTTATAGCCGTGGTAACAAAATGTATCTAGACCTTAAGGCTTTGATGAAAACACTTTTCACCAAGAAATGAGACCAAATGGAGTATCATTGGAAATCAGACAGTGGTTTCAAATCATTTCGTAACCATTGAGATCAGGGCAATCATTTATACACAAAATGTAGTTATGTCGGTTTATGACTCGAGTTGTTTGAAATGATAATTATTGATCGTTTATAACAGTAGTTGAATTACGTTGTGTTTAACTTAAGATATGTGTAGTCATTGAATTTCACAAGCGACGAATTCTAAATAAGACGGCACACTTTATGCTTCTTGTTAAGTTCTTTGGTTATTGTCAGTTTCTCTTCAGATTTATTCTCACACTGTTCAAAGCTTCCATAAGTTGTCTATCGTAATTCACGGTTTTTGGCTTTTCTAATGCTTAATTTTTTAAGAAAATACACGTAAAGGTACCTCCATAAATTTATCTGTTCATTTATTGAATAAAACTATTGATCCTAAGAAACATTAAAGGAGATGTAACAACTAATGAAACATGTTCCTGTCCCAGAGTGAACATCAATTGTGTGATGAAGGTACATCCAGCCGACGAGTCCCAAATAGGACCAAACGTGCGTCCTGGACTCCACTGCTAACCACTATCCATCTTTACTTATAAATCAGTCTTCCTGAGAAAAGCTATATCGATAGCTATAAATTGGTTATATTGCTTCAATATATAAATGATTTCTATGCATATCTGGCTATAATATCATTTTGATTGCATCATAGTATTCATGAAAGTATCTTATATTTTTTAATTACAAAGAGTTATACCATCGACAACTGTCTTAAAACTACTATGGCACGATTCTTTGTAAAAGGAAGATGCACCATATAAATTGGCATCTCTTGTTGATGTAAGATAAGTTGAAGAGTACTAATCAGCTAGAGATTAGAACTAAAATCGGTTGACATCTTTTTCCATTTTTATTAGAAAACAAGTTATGTATAAAAGTTATTGATCCTAAGAAACATTAAAAGAGATATACTAACTAATCCATCACATCACCAAAACTTATAACAAAATTGAAAGTAAGATATTAAAACTTAAGAAGTATGAATTCGTTCATCGGACAAAAATCCAGCGATCTACATTTCCAATTTAGTTAATCCTATGTTGTATGTCAACTTTGTTGTGAATGACATATCACTGGTAAGTCAGTTGCACTAAATGATAATTGGCCAAATACAAAAGGTATCCAATAGATAAGAATTAATCTAGTTCTTCAATCTGAACATTTGTCAGCTTCCTGAAGTAAATTAAACTAGTATTATTTTTTTCAAACTGTTGTTCATTTCTATACAACAAAACTATACTTCTATACGAAACAAGATATTTTATATACAATATATAGTTTGATTTCATTCAATTATTAATAGTGACCTTTTGAATATACCTCTATTCACTGATTATTCCATATTTAGTCTTAAGGGCAAATAAGAAAAGAGCACTTTGATATTAAATGTAAATTACTAAACCCTATTAAAATATCTCTGTATTACGTAGTTTAACAACATAATAACAGAATACTTCATGTTTATAAAAGGTGAAGAGGAACAACCAGATTAAAGTGTAATATAAAATTTTCTTCAGGTCATGAAATAAAAGATTAGAATACTTTTCTTATAATAAACATCAGTCAATCAAACACAATACTACTAATTCTTTATATGAATCTTATTTTCTATATACATGCGTCTATCTTTCATAAACTGAAATCGATTGAAAGACGAGAGAACATATATGTCTTACCAATAAACACTTTTGTTTGACTAAAAAGCTGTAAAGTACTGCTGTAACATTAAGTTTTTGTGTAAAATATGTTTAGAGAAATCTAGTCATTGATAAAAGCCTAATTAAGTAATATACTACCGTTTTCGGCTATCATTGTATTCCATTACTTTCAAGATGATGTTATCGACCAGTGAAGTTCATGACTAGATCTTCAGAGCTTTTGGTTACGGAAACGAGAAAGTCATAAGGTTTTACTAGTATTTCAATGTACATGGTGAATTAATTTTTATCGAGATGAACACCTTTGATAGTTTGATTGCAATTATAAATGGGTTGGAGTATTTTATGTTCACCATACAGTAATATTAACAAGAGAATGAATAGTTAGCAAAGTAATTACTACAACCTAATGATCAAATTGTGTGCAAATAAATCATTTATACAGAATACTGATCGCACCTCGCAAAGCTCATTTAAAAGGTCTTTGACGATAGTTCGAATTTGACAACGAGTACATGTTCTCCTTTCGAATTTCTGCACATATGGCTCATAGCTTGTCCTGTATACTTCGATGTTGATTGGTTCTTGTCGACCTTAAACCTGCCATTGTCTACTTCTTTATGTTGGCTGTATCTCCCATTGGTTTGATTTTTGGTCCTATGTTTGTTCATGTTTTTTTCTGATTGGTTGATAAATTGGGTTGATTTCAATGTGCTCGATGATTGCTGATTGACCTGAGTGCCAATCTTCTAAAAATTCTCTGGTGTTTTTAGAATCGCCTCTATCCAAGATCTATAAATTTTTCCAGTCGAATGTGTGTTCACAGTTGTCCACATGCACTGATATAAGTAATTCATGGCGTTTCACCGGTACTCAGTGTTCATGCATGCGAAGGTGAAGAGGGTATCCGCTTTGTCCGATGTAGTGTTTTTAGCAATTGATACAATGACAAAAAAAGGAAAACCGAACATCATCCACAAAATAAACTGTTCCACATAAATCATTTAATTTGTATGAGGGCTGGGATACTGCCTACGTGCTTAAATCAAAGTAGGTGGTTTTCTTAGGGGGCCACACTTCGAGCCTTTGACCTAAAGGTTTAATCCAAACCTGAACTTATAAATGAATTATTTTACTTTTTTGAATGGGAAGGAATATAATCAACTGAAGAGATTGTTCAAAATAAATGGATGCATATTATTTGATTATGAATGATGCCATTGATCAATGAAAGTTTACAAGATAGAAAAACTTCATCAAATATACTGTGAATTCATTAGTCTTTTACATTTATCTCTTTTCAATAAAAATAGTTATGTGCAATGTTATAGATTATCGAATGAACATTCTTGCATTCAGTTAAATCATATCTGTTCACCTTATAGTTAAAATTAAAGGAAACCCTCCCCTCTTTTAAAATCTTAATAAAATTTTAATGGTTTTAAAGATTCCTTAATTTAGTTAGAATATTGATTTATAGTTTCTAAGTAATCTATTTATAAATAATAAAAAAGAATAAAGATTTAACTGATGTTTTTCTATTAAACAACTTTCTCTTCCTAGTGTATTCTCATTTGGGTTATTAGAAAATGATGAAGAAAATAAAACAAAAAAAATTTTAACATGTAAAATATGTTGCTTTAATATAAATTACAAATGATTTTGTTGTTGTTGGTGTTGTTTAAAGGCTATTTATTCTTAGATGAACTTTAGATATAGATTTCATTTATGTAATTCATTCAATAGTCATGTGTTTTATAATTATGGAAATGTATATAATACAAAAAATAGATAAATGATTTACAATAAGAATAAATATTTTTGTTCAGATTTAACATTTTGTTATAATGATAGTAAAACCATTTAACTTGATTATATCTTTGCATTCACTAGTAATCATCTTTACAATAGATTTCGGATGAGGCTGTAAACTATACAGTCAATACATTCATTGAAGAATGAATTATGTAAGAATTGATCTATATCATAATTTATCTGAATTAGTGGATTACAGGCATTTTGAGAATTATGAGACTTAACGGTCCATGTTGTCTTCTTATGTCAGGTCTTAAAATAGGACAATAATAATTATTGGAAGTTTCAGAGCTAACCGTAGGATAACAGAATGTAAAAAAAAATCAACTTCGAAATAAGTAGATCTTCACTTAAGCTACATATATTAGATTAATTATATTATGATATTTTATCCTAACTACTTGACAGTATTCGACTCATAGTTACTTACTTACTTACTTACTCCGCCTGGAGTCCCTCCGATGGCTGCTGCCGGTCCGAAGCCCGGATAAAGGAGGAGGGTTGGGCATGGGGTTAGCGTCCCTATCCCGTAGAAAACAAACTCGCCAAAAAAACACTAACCAGAAAAAAATTAGTCGAATCACATGAAATATTATTGATATGGATGAAATCCATGACTGTATCGACTAATTCTTAAAATAGTAATCTAAAGTTTTGTAAAAACTTGTTTAATTAATTAACTGGTGATTATTTTCCAAATAACCTGTTGAAAAATATTAGAAACGAGTATGTTAATATTGACAGGATAAATTGAATCATTCACCACGGATTGTGTATATATAATTATGGGTTAACTTGTTTCTTCAAATATAAACCATCTATAATGAGTGCCAAATTTTAATTTTATTTCCCTGACGCATTTCGAAAGGAAATGACAAGAAAATTATTTGAACCACTTAATATCACTCATAGATTTCAACAAATACAATTTATACCGAATATCATTAGTACGCGGACCCATTCATTTCTGCTAAAGTTATTTAAATCTGAACTGCTTTATAAAAATCCAAATAGTTTATTCATGTTGCCGACAGATAGTGTTTCTTCAAGTATCTATCTTTTTTCCTCTAATTAGGGAATAATGTTTTTTATTTAAATGTCTAGGTGAAATAAGTAGTTATTTAAGTAGTAAATTTTCATTTCTACTCTTTATTCATTCTAAAATTACATCATCTAAAGACTCATGAGATACTTCGATACACAGGGATGTTGTTTCACTTTAATTTGAGACACATTGTCCGTTCTCAATTTGATGGAGAAACATGAATTCAACTTCGTGATTCAAAGGTATTGTGATAGCCTGTGTTTTGATCACATTGAAATTAAAAGATGCGCACTTCTGATGATTTCTAAACAAAGTCCAAACAGATTTCTATTGCTCACTAATTTACAATTATTATGTATTTATATAACCTCACAAATAGTTCTTTCCTGAGATAGTATAATACTGTAAATCTATTTCTATGTATCAGTACCAAGGTTTGACTTGATAATTTCGAATAAATTCAGCATTGAGTAGATTTTTATAAATAAAAATAAAATATTTGTAATATCCAAATGAATAGAAAACTAGATTTTCCAACGTTTCGTGACTCAATGTAAGTCACTTCTTCAGAGAATTAATAACCAAATCAAAAATATTCCGAGTTTAAAACGTCAGAAACGTCAGAATATCTAAAAAGAATTTTTTTCTACTCACTGGGTTATTATAAATATACTTTTTTATTTACTGTGAATCTATTGTTTAGCAAACTAATGACAGTGAAATTTCTTAGCAATAAAATTTAGAAAGAAGGAAGAGGAAAGACATATATATTCGTTGTTAAGCCAATGTATAAAAACTATCTTATTAAAATTGATTTAATGAAAGTATCACAATGTTTAACTTTTCTTTTTTCAGAATATTGTTTTCTAGATTATCGACAGCCATGTAGGTGCTCATTTTATTTAGAATATCAATAAATTTTATGTTATACCATACTGACGGATAAATGACCATTTTTAATGAAGCTCTCATATTGAGTGAATCATTATATTTGTTCTAAGCTATTAGCTATATGAGTAGGTCAAATCTTAAGTATTGTATTTAATTGATCTATCTTTAAAGTAAATGCCCATGTCAATGAAATAAAATAACACCATAGTCATTCGTATTGTTTACAACTTAACCCACAATATCTATAGAGGTTAATTTTCACTGAACAGCATAACAATATACTGCTTAATATAAATAGCAAATATAACATTATTATACAAATTACAAGTACATTACATAAAAAGACGTTTAACATACCGCCTAATACATACACTAACGAGCCATAATCACCTTCAGTAATGATCATTTCACCCGCAGTAAACTCTATGCTGTACATGCAATCGACTAACTGACTCAATTGACTTGATGCGATATGATTCATGAAGTCATTTTCCAGAATAGCACCTTTTATTAATTTACGAACACTGTAGAAAAACAACCGAATTTAAAACAAACAATACAACTATTTTAACTCCGGTTGTTAAAAATTCAACAAACATATTTAATTCACTTATTGAAGTCGGTTTTCAGATTGATTTAATATGAAGACAGTTTTCGTTACAGACTGACATTCGTTGTAGAACAACTGAAAACTACAAAACACTGGTTAGCTTCTTTTTTCATAAAGACCGATTATCAAAAGAACGCATTTTAAAGAATAATCAACTCGAAAAATAATTATCAGCTTTGATGGTGCTTACAAAATTAGCCATAATATCCAAAGTCCAAGAATTTCGGGTTTTAAGGAAAATCTTTTTATGTGGAATGTAGAAGTGAGAATTTTCGAGTAGTGTAGATAAAAAAACCGTTGAGATTAGGAAACCTAATCTGAATGTGGTTAAATTTGGACAAACCGTAACTAACGTTAGTCTAGCCGAAACAAAGTATTGAATGGATTGCGGTTGTGCCCATTTAATACTCAACGAACCCATATTAAGGCAAGATTTCAGGATATGAGTCCATAAATAACTATGTTAAAGTGTATATGAGGATGTAGAGGTCACGGCTAAGATCTCTGAGACAACAAAAGTTAGTGATGGGATGTAGATCATTGAAAATGGTTCAGAATCTATCACGACTTGTTGCAGTTTGAAGTGTTATTGTTGATCAAAATGGTCTCAGCCTCACCTTTTTGAATTTAAGTTGAAATATTTCGGTTACTTTCAATTAAAAATTGTCCATACTCATTACAATTTCATGTAGCTTATGGAAGTTGAATCAATATTTCATTTAGAAATAACACTACAAAAATTCAGAATAGGGCAATTTGTGTGTTGTTAGGTGTTCAGAATTAGGACAAATCAAGTGCTAAATTATCGTCAACATTAGTCATTCCCCCAACGTATAAGGATTATTTAATTTGACTTTGTGAATATATGTCGAATTATCTACAACTTAAAGAATGTTGGTATTAATTACTACAAAAATTGAAGAATTCAGATCTGAACTTAATCATTACCAGAGTAAGGTTTATCTAATTACGAGCGGTAACAACTATAATCTTGTTCAGCTTAAACTACTTCAGTAGTTTCAAGTTGTTATTATGAATGAAGGAGACTAGATATGTACACCATCTTAATGAAAAATAAATGTAAATTGATGAAACTGAATACTTACAACTGAAAATCCAAAATATGAAGTTGTTTTAAGATGAGTATCCCTTTATCAGAGAAATAAGGGTTTAAATATGTCAAAAGTGAAATAGTTTTCACTAAGGTGATCAGATAATGATTATACTAAATCACTAATTGCTCAAAATAGAGGGCATGAACAATTGAGTTTCCATTCATTAGTCTAAAAGTATTGCGAATGCCTTGCGTTCTGAAGGTTTGTGGTCCTATTTCATATAATATGATGAAAAGTCACAAAAAATGAGAAAAATTATCTGCTCATTGTTTGTTTTTCCATTGTGGTAAATTAAGCAAGTAAATTTAGGAGAAGAAAATTACGGAAAACTGAATGCTTCACATTCATTCATTACATAATCTAACCGATTAAGCTAAACCTAATTCCTTTGTTGATAATTGTAAACTTTTGATCTGAACTGAGATGTTATAAGAACAGTTTTAACATTTTGTTTACTGACAATTATCTTATAATTTTTGAACAGACAACAAAGGAACTGTGAAGAAGATTGAGATGACTGAAAACACCTCTGGCCATGAAGATAACTTACACTAGTTTGAATTTGTTAGGATGTATGAGTTCGCTGAAGAAGTTCCATTGACAGGAATCTAAAGGTATCTTATGGATTGTTTTCAACCACTTGTAATAAGTATGAAAATTATCTCGCCATGACCAAAATAGTGCCGTTAAAAGCTCTTTTAAACAACTGTATAACTGTATGGTCAAAACTGTACAAATTATTCTACTGTTAGTGATGTGCATACCAAATAATTTGTCTTAGTAAATTGGGTTGGACATATTTTACGTAATCTAAGTATTAATTTTCACTTATATTCTCATCTGTTTTTTATTTCTCCCCATACTTACAAGTTAAATGAATCTACTACTTAAACATCCTCGAAAAGTAATGTTAGTCTTTATTACATTAATTATATTATCCAATTAACAATGTTGTGTAAATCGATCAATAAGTATATTAATTACCTCTCTATAAATATCCGTTAAATAACTGAGTGTTCATTGAAATTGTTGTCGGCTGCGTCAGACATTAAATGACATTGGATTCATTTAGTATTGTTCCTTTGAATCTTCCCATTGATGCTTACGATTTAACATCAGTGAGAGGATTCAGGTAAACAATATTAAGTGAATTTAAGCTTCACTCCATTGGACAAGCAAGTGGCTATTAGGATTAAGTAGCCAAATATATAACACGATGGTGTTTGAAGCGAACAGTACTAGGTTCAAGTCCCAGGGTGAGCACCAACTCTAATATGCAGGTACATCCAGCAGACGGAACGCGCGTCCTGGATTTCACTGCTAGCCACTATCCATCATTGATTAAATGACACTGTTGAATAGCATTTCACAACTTCTATAACACTAATATTTATACGTTTTTGAAGAGAATAAATTACCTCTTATTATCAGAAAAAGCAGTTACTTAAAACATTTCTAAATTTAAGTAAATGTTTATCGATACTTCCCTCTTTACAAACAGAAATCTTTGTGTTTATCTCAATAAAAAAATCACTTGACAATTTTGATGACAAAAGATTATTTACTATGGGATGTATACCTCTTGATCAATATAGTCGTTTTGATTTATCACATGATTAATTACACTTTCAAATAGCTAGTGACATATTGTTTGTTTGCTTCGATTAATACACACATTAAATGGTGGTATAAAAGCTAAACCATTATATTCTATCAGGGTATTATTTGTGAATATCAAACTACTTTATTAGGTTGCTGGCATCACAAACCTCAAACATCAATGCAAATACCAAGTATGGGTTCGGTGTATTAATAAAAGGGCTTATTACTAGTGTAATGAATTTACGGGACATTTTGATATTATTCATTAAATTCAATTCAAAAGCACGAGTACGAAAATAAACCTTTGATTTAGGATACATGAATGTTTTATTTCACTGTATATGTTTTTCAACGTTAACTGATATTAGATGAAAAATCTGAGAAATCCAGGACATAAAGTACTCACCGACTTACTATAGATTCTCTAGATGATATCTGCAACTCGAATAAACCCTTATATAGCTGTGTATGCATTATATTAAACCTTAATGAATATAAAAAAAGTGTTATGTCCTATGTTTTGTAACTGAATATTTTATACTATTATGATGAATATGACAGAATTAGTGTATTGTTTTATCTTTCTTTTTTCAGCATAAGACAATAAACATATGATAATTAAACAAGTTTATAGATATGTGTATTCACGTTTTACATTCTTTTCTTATTTAATGTGACATCTTTTGTTCATTGTTCATAGTATTGATTATTGAGTAATATTTAGTTATGTAATCTGATATTATTAATACATATCGTTAGATACAAATAATTAAGTAAATTAAAATAACATGTGGTGTTTATTGTAAAACTAGTAAATGGTCTCATTTTCATCGAAATTGAATATATAATCCGTGTGTATGTGATATCATCAAAATTTATATATATACCATATTTTGTTTAAATGAACACACTGCAAACTTTGATGAAAGTGCTTTCATCCTGAATTTTGTTACCACGGTGATTAGTCCAAAGACTTTAACAGCTTAGATAGATACCAAATAATAAAGAAATTCATTCACTTTGTAAATTGAACTGACACATATGACCAATTAACAACAATTAACATTCATGTAACCTCAGATTAAGTAAGTCAACTGGCAGCTTAATCATTTGTGGTGCTAAGCAGTGTGGACCTAAATCTCAGAAGGCTCATTAATACCATCGGAACTGTCAGCAGCTAATGATCTGAAACAGATGCATAAGGGTTGCCTGTTAATTACCAGCACGCAAATGTCAACACAAACTTAGATATCTTATTATGGTCACGTTGTTGAGGTGATTAAACGAATTTCACCAGGACGAAAGACAATAATATACGACAATCGGTAATCAGTTTCTTGTGTTTGGTGGTTCAACCTTACACTTATTAACTCATACATCATACATATGTACTTATGATTTCGAAGTGGAATGTGTTTCACTCGATGATGAATATATTTATATTGGAAAAAGTGGCATAAACAATCTTGGAAGTGGGACATTATATACCTGTTCGTATTCATATCGCTTTAGGTGGCATTAATTAACAAACTAAATGAACGACAGGTGAAGATTATCCTGTAGAAGATAGAAAATTAAATCGTAGGAAGGAATACGACCAGTTCAAACGAATAGGCTTGGAAAATGAGTACCACGAAACAATATGGTTAAAAATTTTAAAAATAAGCAATATTTGTCAGTACCATTGAGGTCTATCCATTCCTTTTAAAGTATTCCATCATAGATTACTATTGTTTTGCGAACCCTAATCACGAAGACTATCAGTTATCAGAGTGCATTTTAATACCAATTGATTTCATTTACTAATACCTTCTAATATTTTTCTAGCATGCAATTCATTGTACATTCGTTCATGTGAATAAAAGTTTTAAAATCCAACTATTGACTTGCTGTAAGTACTGAACTCTGTATTGAGTGAATTGGCGGTTATTGTAATAGACTCTTGATAAGCAGAGTAATATTTCTTAGTTGCTATTTATTTTTTAAAATTTTATTTCGTTACAAATTAACACCAGCCAACAAACTAAGTAGATTAAACACCCATGTTGAACTAGAAAAAGACTATTCGTACCCACACTACCTACATAAATCAAGCATAGAACCCAGGTGTGCCGATTAATTTTAAGCAGGCTAGTTGAAATAGAATGATCCATATTTTCAATTGTTATCAATTTGTGATAAAAGCCAACTTTAATATGAACTATTCCCCATAAATTCACCTCGTATTGTTTACTTGAATCTTCCCATTGATCTTTAGGACTGCAATTCGTCAGTCTCTTATTGGCATATGTGCATACTGCGCGTATTGCCTCAATATTACCTTAATTCACAAGCATTATAAGCAATCATGAATAGTGACTAGCAATGAAATCCAGGATGCGCGTTTCGTCCTATTTAAGACTCGTCAGATAGGTACACCTGCATCTCAGAGTTGATGTTCATTCCATAAATCTTTCAATCAAACGATGATCCCGTGTTTAGTAATAACAATGTATGAGATAATTTTTATCAGTTCCAGTTAAAATAATAAGTGTGCATATACTGAGAAGTCTTGTAGTACATGAAAAAGGAACATCCATTTATTATTCCATAATTTTCAATGATTTAATTGTTGAGATCATGAGTTAATTAAAGTTAGATCACCATAGAAAACCTGAAAGCACTGGACAACTGTTTCATCCTAAAAAATGGGACTTTACGAAACCCTTTCTGATACTAATAATTTAATAGTTTATTCCATATGAAAATATAATAAAAATCAACTTCAATAATTAACCAATGAAATTAATTCATATTATTATTTATAATTTTATTTTTATTATAAATCAATAAATTGGACAAATGGTGTATGTTTTCATGAAATCATTAATGTTTTTGCAACAAAATAATAATAATTTAGTGATTTATTACTTATTGATTATAGATTGTGTACAAAAGTTTATTAAAACTAAAATGAAACTATTAACGATTAAGTTTTGACTGTTATTTGAAATTTCTCTCTTTTGAGAGAGAGAGAGAGAGAGAGAGCGAGAGGGAGAGAGAAATAAATAAACAAACAAACAAATAAATAAATAAACAAGCCATTCAAATCAGAATGGTAGTCAATTTATTGTGTCAAACTAAAATATTGTTTATTTATTATTAGTAACATTGACTTTTTCTATTGCTTTACGAATAATGATTCACGTGATAAGTAAATAAAATATAAAACTAGTCCTTATTTCTTGTTACATAACCATTTACATGGTGTATTCATATTTGTGATAATGGTGATATTCATTTGAATGTATCTTACAATCTAACAATAGTCAGCTGATACCTTATTTTCATTTATGATAAATGGCACATATAGACATGTCAATCATATTGATCTTTTGGACCCAATATGACCTCAGTCTGATTGAAAAAAGTCTGATATGTTACTTTGCGTTTCCAATTATTTCTGATATTTTATAATAACACAGTGTTAACGATGCTAAAGGTCTGATGGTTTTTATTCACAAATGGAAGAAATGGCAATTCAATACGTGTTATTATCTTAAAGCATCCGTCTCAGTAACTTGATAACACTTAATACACAGAATCTTATCAACGCCCGTAACACACATCTTTTGGTAATATAAAGAATGAGTGGTTAGATAAACGAATCTATTTTCTAAATTAATTCTAACTAGATAAAATTTGAATCAGTTCATACAAATAGACCATTTTAATACATCTTAAAAAATATGTTACAAGCAGAATTGCATGGCAATCGGCAGTGGAATCCAGGACGCGTGTTTCTTCCGATTCAGAAGTTGTCAGATGGATCTGTCTGCATCTCATATTTGATATTCACTACGACACTCTAACCCACAACTATTCGCTTCAAACGCCATCATGTTATTCATTTAGTTGCTTAGTTCAAACAGCCACCAGCTTGTTCAATGAGGTGAAGTTTGATTAATTTGTGCTGGTTGTTTAAATCTTCTCACTGGTGTTTATCACTGCAATTGATTAATATCTTATTGGCTTATATGCATCCTGAGTGGACTGTCTCTATATTGCCGTCAAGTCACAAGCAACCATCTGACGATTCCTAAATAGTATCACGCACACACCCTCGACTCCAACGCTAGCCGAATCAAGGTCAAACAAAACCATTTTCGGTTGTGATGGCTAGTAACGAATGGCGTTTCTACACATTCGTTACTCTACTGAAATCGGAAATGTGAACCACTGAGTGTTAGATTAGTGGTATGAAAATATGTAGGTCCTGACGACTCTTTGTGAAAAGGCCTTGGCCTACAACTACTGATGAGCTCCATACACAGGTTTAAACTTTTATTTATAATCCATTACCATGAATGATTTTCTAGCTTACATCAGTTCTTGATGTAGATTTCCTTCAATATTCTTCATTAAATATTAGTCTATGATAAAATCATATCTGTAATATCATAAACCTCTTAGTCAGCTAGTTGGAAGATTAAACTTTTGCTCAAACAAATGCATTACTTTAGCTCTTTTTTGAATGGAAAACTCAAACAAGCTACTTCGTTAAATAATGTGAAATCAATTGAAAATTTGAATGTAAAGGTAAATTGTTTTGATAGATCAAAGTGCCCGGTAACTATTGTATTCTATACATTCACTCTGCCAGTAGGATAGCAGAATGAGTTCTAAGAAATTTTGTGTATTTACCAACTAATTTCTCAAGAAAGATAATGAGTTTACTGTAACGTAAATAAAACGCTTTCATCAAAATTTGTTTCTTTCTTTGCTAAGTTAGATTACTGATATTCTTACTGAAATGTATGTATTAGAAAAATATCTCATGTTTCGGAATTTATTCGGATCACAAAGTGTTTGATAAAAGTTGGCAATTCATCGTGACTATTTCCAATGTTTGTTTTTCTGATGATGGTAATTCAGATAGGTAGTTGTTGATCAGTGGTTAAAGTGTTCTTTTATTCTTATCAACTTAATGAAAGTGTATTTATCAGACTGCTAAAATATATTCATCAATGCCATCTAGTTGGAAACGGTGTGTAGATTGTGCCGGTTAATCGTTTGCAACTAAACACCAAGAATCTCCCGATAAAATAAATGTTTCAATCTGGCTAATTCTATAGGATTATTTTTCAACTAAACTTCTACTTTTTCACATGTCCTTGTTAAAGTAGTGGATTTTAAACTAGAAGAGGATAAGACCAGTATTTTCAACTTTTATTTATTAGGTTGTTATGTAAAAGCCTGTTTAACATTATTTATGATTATTTGACTTGATTAGAATGAACTTTGAAGGTTCAACAGTATAATTACTATCATTCATACAGTCCACAAATGTACCTTCTTGAAATAACACAACTTCCATTAAACAGTAAAATTTCGTCTGTTAATTAGCGTCTTCATTATTGCATAATAATTGACATGAATCAACAAATTTGCGTCAGTAATACTAACGTGCTATTATGGCCTCAAAATAGAAAACAAGTTATTTGAAACTTTTCAGCATAATTTCCAGGTAAATTGCTTGTTAAAATAAAAGAGCTGAATTTGTCCATTTTTCTCTAATATTTTAAATGTTATCGTTTCTATTTGGAACATCAGTAAATTACGTCTACTCTTGTATGACTTTTTAGTTTTAGAATAGGAGGTAGATAGGCATGTGCGTATAGGATAATAAAAGTAGTTATATTCTGATTAAATTGTCATCATAATATTAGATTATCTGTAAACTATCAGATGAACATTTGGCTCTAGTTTTAGATTTCGTCCCAGTAAGCATTCCAAAGATCAAAAAAGAAATTATAAGTCATATCAAGTTAAAAATCCATACCAAACTGCTTAATAGTAGATTAAATTGATCTAAAACAAATCACTAACATGGATACTGTTTTGCAAAAAATACATTGTATATTTAATTTTTAAACTTACTCCTCTGACTTGGGATATGATTTAAGTTCTTTCGATTGAATTTCATCTTCATTTTGAGGTTCAGCTGATATACCGATACCACGTTTTCTCGTTTGTACAGTTGGATCATGTACATGTGATTGATCATTGCCACCAAATCCAAACACAACATCATTCAAGCCCAATTGTCGTTCTCTTGATTGTTGTGGTTGTATTTGACCTTTAATCACCGTTACTGGTGTCGATAAAGATGGTGACTGATTAAATACACTTTGATATTTATCCAATAAACCTGATAATTCTGATATTCTTTTATTCTTATCAACTAAATCTTCTTGAAGTTGAATTATTAAAGCTTGTTGTTGTTGAATCTCATTTTGACATTTTGTATGCATTTTAAAACAATCACAGTACTTTAAAATCTACGACGCAATGTGATGTGAATGTGTTTGCGTGTGTGTGTGTGTTTATGTTTGTGTTGATTTGAACGAGTTATGGACAATTTAATTTTTTTATAATAAATGATAAAGAAGATCGAAATGGGGCCGAGATCATTTCACGTATGGATAAGAATAACAAATAAGAAACATAGAAAATAAAACAAAATTCAGTAAACACAATCATTTTACATTTAGGTACTGTACTATAATAAAAACGATTATGTAACTTACTTCAAGGTGAGATATTTTTTCGGAGATCAATTTAAGAGACTGTATGATGATTACAATGATGAATTTATATGTATGAATAACAGGTAGTAATTTTATTATATTATTAGTGTTTTCTCTCTCTCACGGATATATATATATATATACTTTGCTAATTATGTACCATACAAGTTATCATTCTACGCACAGTGTATTATACTATTGGTTAAACAATAGTTTCTCTCATGTACATGCATGTGTGCATTTGTGCATGTATGGATGAATTCGTTTCAGTTAAAGGTATAATGCATGGTAATTGTATAATCATGAAATAGTGAAATATTCCATTATTCATTACCCAAGTTGATGTACATATAAGTATATATATATATAATGAAGACGTTGTTTATTGGGTGTTTGTTACATCAAGTAAGGTGAATGAAAATATTATATAATGAATATCGTTTATATATCACACTAAATGATTACTGTTATTACTATCATTATTAATTCATAAATATTATAGATAGATTGTTTTCACGTACGTACGAGCACATTCTTATATTCTGTAGCACAATTTGTAGAAAAATGTTTTCATAAAAATCCTCTAACGTTTGCCGATTATTTTCCTGATGTCACTATGGTAAAAAAAATAAAAAAAAAGTAAAAATAAAACTGACAACAGAATTGATAATTACTCGTGGCTTTAATTTCAATCATTCTATGATTGGACTTCACTTAACGTTCTGTTGTACAGATATTCATATGTACGAATAAATGAATAAATAAAAGTTATATTTACATAATATATATCTATGTATGTACGTAAATACTTGTGTGTTTTCTTTTCCATGGATTCTTTTTTGTCTAAAGCCACGATACTAATTATTTACCACATACTTTTATTGTAAGAGTATGATTGGCACATTTCTATTACAGTACAATCAGTGAATAGACAGATCGTGTTGGGAATTAGATTGTATCAACCAATAAGAAAAAATTTGTCACATAAATCACAGTCATGTTATGGGTCAAAAACAAATTTATCACATTGAATTATACATGATTTTAAATGAAGGAAGAATATCAAGAGTTACAAGAAAAATGGCTTTTCATTTTATTTCAAAATCTCACTAAATGACTGATGGTTTAACCTATAGCTTACTTACTTACGCTTACTGCTCGTGGAGGAGCGTAGGCCGCCCACCAGCACTCGCCATCCAAACCTATCATAGGTAATCCTTTCCAGCTCTTTCCAGTTTTTATTTATTCTTTTCATATCTGATTCTATTTCCCGATGTAATGTGTTCTTCGGCCTTCCTCTTTTCCGCTTCCCTTCAGGATTCCAAGTTAGGGCTTGCCTCGTGATCCAGTTTGATGATTTGCGTAATGTATGTCCTATCCATTTCCATAGTCTTCCTAATTTCTTCAGCTGGAAGCGGGTTTGTTCTCTCCACAGAAGGCTGTTGCTGATGGTATCCGGCCAATGAATGTTGAGTATCTTGCTTAGACAACTATTTATAAACACTTGTACCTTCATGATGGTGGTTGTAGTAGTTTTCCAAGTTTCAGCTCCGTACAGTAGAACTGCCTTGATGTTAGTATTGAAGATACTCACTTTGATATTGGTTGAGAGTTGTTTTGAGTTCCATATGTTCTTCAATTGTAGGAATGCTGTCGTTGCTTTGTCAATCCTTGCCTTTACGTATGCAACTGATCCTCCTTGTTCATCGATGATGCTTCCCAGGTATGTGAAGGATTCTACATCTTCCAGAGTTTCTTGAGCAATACAGGTTTCGAGATCCATGATTGAAAGATCATGAAATAACTCTTTCTTTAACCTACCTAACTAACTTACTCGCTATCGACTGAAGATGACCTAGAGTTAACGTAGTTTCAGTCAATATTAACCTTCTGATAGTAAAAGGACTGACATGACAGAAACAAAAAGAACTAATGCAAGAGGTCAACATCACGGTTGATTACTATGAAAAATTATTAGTATAGAATTGGTTACCATACATCAGATTCTAATATATTCAATTTAGATATCATTATACTGGCAATGACAACAACTGCAGCATTATCAATAACAATAAATGAAATTCTAAGATGATGATTCCAAGAAGAAAATAACTATCAGTATACATTTTATTAATGAATCTATCGTTAGGCTTCAGCTTTTACAGTTAACACTTAAAATCTCTTTTTTCAAACTATTTAGAGTACAATAATCACATTTCATGGTGATTTCACGTTAATTCACTGGTCATATATTTGCCATTCAACACGTACATACAGTGTTCATCATTGTTCACTTGTGACTATGACAGAAAGATGATTAACTATTTCTATGACATTTTAAATATGACAGTTTTAAACAAAAATTGTACATGCATTATGCGACTATTTATAGGAATTTCATAAAAACTAAATCTCTTAAATTCACAGCTTTATGAAGACAAACGTAATCTTTGATAATAAACCATAGAAAAAGCATTACAAAGTCAATAGCCAATCCTTCATATTGTTGCACATTAAGAATGTATAACTGTTATCCATTTGTTTCATTGGTAATATTTCTCCAATTGCTATTAATTCGGGAAAGATGGAAATTATCATTATCAGAATGTAGCAAGTGAAATATAATGAATTCATGTAACTCTATATGAAAGACTCATATTATTTTTTCCTGGGTTCAAACCCCGCGGGGTGGATGTGTGCTGCTGAGGAATCCCATACTGGGATGAAACGGCTGTCCAGTGCTTCCAGGTTTTCCGTGGTGGTCTAGCTTCAATTGGCTCATGATCTCAACTAATGAAATTACTATAATATCCACAAAACCCCTTCTGATATATATTATTCACCAAAAATTTTAATTTTTCTTTAATTTACATTTGACTCACCTAATGTTTAGTGATATTATAAATTAACCTAATTTAACACTAATCTACTTAAGAGGTTTTAAACATAATAAATTAAGTTTAATGTTAATTTTTCAGTAATTCTATATTAAGTAAAGTTGTTTACACGTCATCATTTCACTGATGATACTTGAGGAGTATACAGTGTGTTTTTACATGTGATTGTTAAAATAAAACTTATTCATGTAAAATTTATGTACCTGTGTTAAAAAGTCATTGAGATGTATAGTACTTCAATAATTGATATCGTGAGTCAATTGGAGCTAGACCACTACGGAAAACCTGGGAGTACTGAACGGACATTTCATCCTAGTATGGGACACCTCAGCAGTGCGGATCTACGATCCCGCTCCGCGAGCGAACACTTAACCTTTAGACCACTGAGCCGGCATCTGACGGTGTTCATGTCTAACGTCAGCACAATATATTTTTGAAAAAATATTTTTTAAGGGTTTGTTATACAAACAATCGCTAGTTTACATCAATGCTGAACAACAGATAGCTTTTTATATTTATTTCCAGGTTGATTGTAATATCATGGTAGTAGCTCATAATAGATTGTGTTTAGGATTTACAGATCCTGAAGCTAACACAATACTACTTGGTCATTCATTAAAGATCCAGTGATTTACATTTTTAAATTTAGGCTATGTATAAAATAGTGTGATCTTTAATCAGTATTACTAATGAATTACAATCTTACTTTCTACGGGGTTAACTTCGAATTTATTGAATTTTGACTACAACTTACGAAAATTCATTTCAAGGATTATTATTTCAAAAAATAATATTTACTTAGTTGTTGTTTCTGTGTCGAATCAAATACTAATTGTAATGCAACTAATAACGCTACGCATTTTCCTTGTTTTGATGGGCTTATATTGATGCTAAAATAGATGCTCTTGAATGTCTTCAAAGTTGCAAACGTGTTATTCTGACGTGTATCAGAGGAACAAAAACTTTACCAAAAGCTTCCTATTACTTCTAATACTCATTACATAGAACTTTTGGTAGGGGATCTCCAGGTTAATTTGTCGATACAGGAAATAAGTACTCAAGGAATTAAGTAATCAGTTTTACCATATTTTTAAAACACTACATTATTGCAAACGTTCACCATGCGAAGTTTCTAAGTATGGAAATTTAGGCAAACAAAACTCCCGAATTTATTTGTTACAGATAGTTATTTGACTATTATCTGTAAATCAAACTGACATGGACTGATTAAACATTGAAGAGATTTTTGAGATTTGTTATTAAATAATACCGCATACCCAAAACTTTGATTTCATACAATATTCAGGTTAGTCTTCAGTCAGTAAGCCTATCGACAAAGATTCATTTTATCGGTGTATAAGGAAACTTTTATTTATTAACATGATCAGTGATTAAACCAACAAAACAGTCAATCAGAATGGAAAGATACTTGAAGACAGCAAAGTTTTCGAATGCAATCCATCAAAAACTAGGTCATCAAAATGGATTGACTCAACGTTTTTCTAACATATTTTAGCAAATAAAATAATGATATATTTATGATAAATTAATGAGTAGAAATGTGAACGTATGAACTTTCGTGACTAAGCATATACCACCTATTCAGAGTAAGTAAATAAATAATCCAACTAAATCAACACATAATGATTTAGTTATTTATTTGCTCTGAAGAATTGGCTTAGAGTTAGTTACGAAACGTCAGAAATTCTGACTTTTACCCATTGGAAGATCACAAATATATCACTTTTTTTACTTTCATTCTATCTAATACTTAATTTATCTAGAATTATCAAGTCTGACCTTTACATTAATACTTATATTTTTGAAATCTTATTTGATGTTGCTCAGAACCGACAATTCAACCATGAATTTTAGAGAACACAACATCCACATAATCATTTGACCTGAAACCTCTATTATTTCAATTGAGTGTGTAGCAAATGTAGAAATATATTTCCAAGTTCTTATTATATATTGTTTGTTAGTGAAATATTGAGATGAATTTGATAACAAAACTTTTAAAGTACATGAGAA